GTTCATGCTTACCCGCACACCAGCGATCAGGTCGAAGAGACAGCATGTCGTGTTGAGCGAGTTAGTGGCACCTGCTCTATGCTGAGTCTGGCGTCGCTCGCAGGTACTATGGTCACATGGCCGAGAGGCTCCTGGGCCCAGGAGCTTGCACGACGAGCTTTTCGCCGCCTTTGTGAGCTGGAACAGTGCTGCCGCTTCGTGCAAAGAGTCTCGTTGGAAAGTGCGTGTATCAGGAAGGGCAGTAATCGGCCGCCGAAGGCAGCAAATCCCTTATGCCACCATTTGAAGTTTCGCGTCTGTCTGTGCAGGACGATTTCTCTTTGCCTTTCTCGCCAGCGCGCATGCCTAAGCTGTGCTCGGAAACTGCGGAGCCATGTCGGAGACCAGAAGGCATGTGCACAATTGCTCCCAGTTCGGCTGTGTGCATGCTGGACTGTTGTGGCAGACTAGCTAGGAATGCACACGTCAGGCCCGCCAAGCATTTGACTCTCTGCATGGTCTCTTCAGTAGCCGGGAAAGTGCGGCTGTCACGGTCGTGCTTGCTGTTGACCTGCTCTCAAGGCAGTTGGCGGCTCACTTGCCTCCATCATGTGGAAGCAGCGGCGAAGAGGCTTGCAAGCGGCATTTGGGGCAATGTTGGCTTCTCTGCAGCTCTGTCGTTGGACTGCGTAGAGCAGTGTCTGCAAAGTCGCTCCAAAGGCAATGTCATTCTCAAGAACAGGACAGTAGCACGTAGGTGTATATACTGTAAACGCTGCTGACTAGACATACCGGGGTCGATGCTACCGCTAATATCCTAGATTCCGAAGATTTCGAGGGTGCCTGCGAGCTCGTCTGAAATGCGGCGCAGATTCAATCGCGTCCTTGGGTGGCTCAGCAGCTGCCCTGGGCCTTGTCGCCGCGCGTGCCTGAGACGAAGTTGAAGACCAGTGGAGAGGATTTGTGAGGAACGTACCGGGGCCCAAGGTGCATCTCCAAAATGATGGATGAAATGGTCGTATTATCCTGGTTATAGCAATAATGCTCGCACTTCTACCATGAGTGACTTAAGTGGTACTGCACTGACTCGACTAGCTTTTGCTGACGTGTGACAGCAGCAGCTGCATTGCTAGCAGGACTACCAATATTGTTCTAGTATAGTGTGGTATATATTTTTGAGGGTACATCAGAGTGTATTCGTGTACATTAGAGTATATACGGTAGTAACCTGGTAGAATATCACAATGTGCATCCGATGCAAGACAGGAAGCTTCGGACCTGTGAGCGGATTCTGGCTCTCAGCTTGTGGCTTGCAACAGTCACGCACGTAGGAAGCGAACCACCACCACACTCTTTGCAGGCCTTATTTCTTTGGTCCCAAAGGGTCATGTAAGTTAGACATGAGTTGCATTTTTCCCGCTTGACTCGGGCACCATGAGCTGCGATCTGGACTGCCCGGCACTCTTGCATGATGCTTGCTACATGAGTACAAGTTAGGTCATCCTGTGAATTTTTGGTCTCAGGTGTTTAGACTTGGGAACTCGGAGTAGGTCCAGGCAGCACAGCCAAGTCGCTCAAGCCTTAGACGAGTCTGCAGGACTCGCAAAGCGACAGCTCGGAGCTGGAAATTGATTACAAGGTGTCAGGGATGAAAACAGAATAAAAAGTCGTGGAATCCAAGAGAAGGCACGAGCCGCATGCCTGAAAAGGTGTGGTCCCTTCGCCGACGGATTTCGTGCAATGGCTACACCAAGACCATGCCTCCAATGCAGGCATCAACAGATTTAGCATCCTCGAGTTGGGAGAATGCTTGCCGCTGTACAACTTAAGCCTGAAATATGGTAGCCGTGTTGCCATAGGCTCCTTGTTGAACCGAGAGTCCTGCTAGCTCCTCTGAGGTTTGCCTGACTTTTCCCAACAACGAACTACTGTCCTGTGCCTTACTTCGCATGGACAGCAATGTAGGTAAGTTGGTCGCGAGGAGGTTGGTCTTTGCAATTCCCCACGCTTGTTGCCGGCCTCGTAGCACCAGGCAAAGTGTCGTACCGGTAGCAGTATTGGGGGCTAGTGTGGGTAACTTTCAAAGACATGCTGTATAAACGAGTTGAGGTTTACGCGAACTGGGAATGTTGATATTCAATGAACCGACTATAGTGTCGAGATATTGCTAAGCACAGCAATCAAGTGTGAAACATTCCGTCGCAGGATTGATGCCAAACGAGGCGAGGAAGCCGAGGAATCAGTTAGCCGTCAGGTTGAACGTCTATACTATAGAGAAAGAAAAGAAATTGTGTCAAAGCGGTTTATCAAGTAGAAGGACAATCAAGACCATTTTGGGCGTTTTGAGTTGGCAAAGCTTAACGAGACTTCGCGAACTGGCTGCATTCGAATACGTGTCCGAAACCAAACAGGACGTACACGGGAAATAAATGGGAAAATGTGGGAACCAACATAAAAAACCTAGGAACCCACGATGTTTCCAGTGGTGTCCTTCTTCTGCCGTATTTTTGTAATTAGTACTTTAGTTCTGTTCCAGGCCTATTGGTTCTTGTTTTTCACATTTTAGTACTGTTTCTATGTGTTCGTTTTGCCAGATTTTTGAACTCGCCCACGCTGTTTCCATTTCGTCCTTATTTCCTGCTCGAGTCCTAAGTAAGTAACATGTAGGCATCGGCGCATGTCCTAATATGCATCGCCGTTATAAGACTATTGCACGGATTCGCATTGGTACAAACGCCACCAACTAGTAGAGAGACAAGTACGCCAACTAGTGCTGAACGCTCCTGTACTCCCTCTATATCTCACCCACATATCACTACTACTTCTCCATTACTAGTACCAGCAAAAAATAAGCAATACCTCAGCTATATTCCCAGAGAGAGACTTATCTGGGGAAAGGTTCTGTCACTTTTTTCCAGGTGTAGCGTGCAGGTTTGAGGCATTGAAGACATCACGGTGGGTCAATACGACTACTATGACAGCCGCGACATGGAAATTCGATGAGGACGATGCTCTAACCAATCATGTCAGCCGATGATGCCTTGAAGCTGCTGAACCTGCCACAAAAGGATTGATTCGACCAGCAGCTGTAAGTGGCTCAAAGAGCCATTGGTGTGCTGTCAGTATCACAGTGCTTGTGGCCATCCGAAATGTTGGCGCAGTTCGGCGCCAAACTTCGGCAAGGAAGCAGTGACAGTGCAAGCTTCAAGGTTGAAGTATCCTGGCAGTGGGTGGGTGGAGGCACCCAACTCGGGCAATCACTCATGGACTTGGCATTCGCGTTGGCTGTTTCTTCAGCCATGGCTCGAAGCCGGAGTGTTAGGATGTTTGAGCCTCATAAAAATTGACATGGCGAAGCAGCCGCTGGTATGCTGCATGCCTTCACCATTTGTCTGTTCCGGCGGTCCTAGCATCCCCAAAGCCAAGGTGTTGTTCAGTGAGTTGGAAACCGGGATGGCAGTTCCAAGTGGACGAATGCGGATACTGCGAAGAGCCCGTGAAGATGTAAGAGCATCTTGCTGTCGGCAAAACATTTGGCCAGTGCTCTGTTCCGTTGCGAGGTTTCCTGGTAAATGAAGATGCTGTGGGGTAGATTTAGCAAGGCCAAGCAAACGACGGAGCTCTTGCCCCGGCATGTGCGGTCAAACCCGCGACTTGCAATGCTCGGCCAGCTTGGCCCTCGCAACGGGCATCAAGGTTTGAGCGTCGTGTTTCTATTCAGCGAAACGGTGTTGATGTATCCAGCCATGGTAACATAACGCCACAGACGTGAAGTTGACTTGCACATGCGGTGGAGCAATGCCACTGAAACGGCCCCCCAGCTTGATGCAGAAGTGCGACTTGGGGCGCATGCTTTGGCGCGCTTCCTGTTATAATCAACATGATGTAGCAATATGTAACTGTAGCTGTTGGTGGCAGCTATGCATGTTGTCAGGCCGGGAGCTTCTGGGGCAAGTGGGCTGTGTGATCAGCATATTTGTGGGTCCGTTCGCGCCACGGATGTGACGATGAAACCACGCCGGCCACGACACATCAGTTTTTATGGTTGAAATTCACACACATGAAATGTTCCGTGCGCATAGGTCTCATGTAAGCAGGGCAAAACAGGTCCAGGGTATGCCAAGCTCAAACATTCAACGGACATATGGTTCTCTCCATATCTGGCCTTGGATGCCCAACTCGTTCCACGAATAGTGCCACTGCAGCGCACCCTGTGAATGGAAGGTTTCAATTCATTCGCCTCCGTGCTGCGCATTCCGTGCTCGTTTGCTCAATGGCGCTTTCGGGTATTTCGAAACTCCTGCAATCAAGTATTTTCTTCTGTAAACATAGGTTTTCACCACATACTCATGTTGTTGTTAATAGTTTTCATCTCGGTAACATGGCAGAACCCTTTGGATTGTGTAATTTCGCTTCGTTTCGGTGAACGCTTCTCTGATAAGCGACATGTTATACATCATAAAATATTTTGTATTGTCGCTTCGTTCCGGTGAACGTTTCTTGATGACCGACATGTTGTGCAGCTTCAAAACTTTTCAGGTTTTTTGTGATTATTTTTTAATTCCCATACTGATTCATCTCAACATGTTCCAGCATTTCCATATATTTCCATTGATGGATCGCCATTTCACTGAAATTAGAATATTTTTCCATTGCCCCAGTGTTCCCTGATGTTGCCGAAGAAACAAACACACTTGAAGGGCAGTCAATTGCGTCACTCGCACCAGTTTCACTTCCCAAAGCAATGACGCTTCACTCGCAGGCCTGGCAGACACCTCCCGGAGCTTTGACTTTCGGCCCCAGGTGGGAGGCATCCGACAGACTTGCACTCCAGCATGAATGAACCAGCTTCCATAGCCTTGTGCTTCAGGCCAAGATTGCTGCTGCTGCACGCCGATTGGCAAGATGTGGAGGCGACTCTCCACAGCAAGTGTGCGCAGTGTTGCGAGCGTCGTGTGAGTTTCTCGTGTGAGTTTCTTTGGCCCAAACTTCCATGAGCGAAAACGACTTAGCTCTCAGCCATGTCCGTGTGTGTTGTGGGCCAGAACAAGTCCGCCTTCATGGAGGCGTGCGCTAACGCCGGCGGAGCCTTGGCATGTAGTGGCACTCCTCAAGACTAATAGCATGGCTTGATCTTTCGCATTTGACGCCTTGGACGACTTGCCTGTCGATTCATCCATCATCCATCTGCCTATCTGCATCGCTCCACGGCTTAATGTCTGTATCTCGTGACCAACCTGTCAGTCGGCTTGTCCAACGATCTCTGACAGTGACTTGTCCGTCCGTCCTTCTTCCCTCCAGTGTGAAATGGTATAACCCGAGCACATGCGACCTAGAAGGGAGGCAGGCTCCAACATCTCTTCCCATGCAAGCAAACAACAAGTCTAGAGTTTACATAAGACTAGGAAAACATTTCGGAGATCAAGACGCCTAAAGAAACATCGCCAAGCGACGCCAAACTGTATGTCGAGATGGTTTTCCAATGTCTTCAAATGTTTTCAAGGTGTTGGAACGAAGCTCACGGACTCGCTCGATGGAGCTGATGGCGTCATCATGGTGTACGATCTCATAGAGGGCATGACTATCGAAGACGAGACGGTCCTGCGGAAGGCGCTCATAGCCGGCCTCCGGGCCTCCATCTTCGTGGACAATTTGGACAAGGCTTTGGAGAAGCTTGATCCCGAAGGTGTCTACCAGGCGTGTGTCCGGGGCCTCGATAACGTGAACGTGGTCCTCTCCACCTACTCCGGTGCTGTATTAGGAGATCTTCAGGTCTATCCTGACTTCAAGGGCGGAGTGGCGTTCGGCAGTGCTTCGCAGGGTTGGGGCTTCACGGTGCGCCACTTCGCCAAGATGTACGCCAAGAAGATGGGCATCCCGGAGAGGAAGATGTGCGACAGACTCTGGGGCGACAACTTCTTCTGGGCCAAGAAGAAGACGTGGGTCTACCACGCGGAACCAGAAGGTGTGACGTTGCCAAGGGCATTCGTCCAGTTCATATTGGCGCCCATAGTCCAGCTCTCGCAGGCCATCCTGACCAATAACTCCAGGTATGAGCAGATGCTGACGGCCTTGAACATCTCCTTGAGCGCGAGTGATAAAGGGCTCACTGGTCAGGCTCTCTTGACTCGAGTCATGCAGTCTTGGATGGCCAGCGATCATCTCAGCCTGCTTCTCGTGCCTATCAAGGACCGCGTCATGACCACATTCAGCAAGTTCGACAAGAATGGCGACGGCCGCATCTCGTGCTCCGAGCTCTCGGCTCTCATGCAGCAGTTGGACCCCAGCTGGTCCGGCGGCGACCTCACGAAGCTCATGGCCCAGTCAGACGACAACGGGGACGGCACCTTGGACCCCGAGGAGTTCGTGCAATTCGTCTTTTCTCCCACTCGCTGAGTGGCCGAAGGCCCTCACTTTTATTTCAGCGACTTCGGCACGACCATGCCAGTGGACCGAAACGCTCTACTGGCCTCTGAGCTCGCTGCAAAGTCAGCTCCTTCAAGACCTTTTCTTCACCTTCTGAACTGTTTAGGACTCGTTGTGAATTGTCACCGAGCGCAAGAAATCTGCTTAAGTCTCGAGTCGCCTCCAGGAGGGGCTGAGGTACTGCCAGGTGTCTAGCCTTATAGGTCTTCTTACGAGCCTTGTCGTGTACAGCTTGGGGCGATGATTGAAAGACATGTGGGAAGAGGTGAGAAGACATGGAGCTTAGTGAAGACATATGCAGGGGCCTCACCGAAGAGCTACTGGCTTCCCGCAACAGCTCAGCCTACATCGCTGCTGCAGCGCTTTGCTCTGCGAGTGCACCTGGTCTAATTATTCTAATTTCAGCCTTTTTTCTGCACCATTGTGATGTCTTTCATTTTGTGGCAGGCAGGTGGAGTCGAAGATATGTGAGAGTCGTTGAGTACCACAGATCTCTTTGCAGACTCCGACAGGTTCCATTTTCACACCAAGCGTTTGGGCTTCACAACCAAGACCGTGAAACGACTCGCAGGTGCATCGGCGAGTTTAGCTGAAGACCTGATTAGGCATGCCAGCAGCTACAGCAGAGAAGCTTTGCTTGGTCCATCCCTTTCGTGCCGTTTTGGAGGCTGCGCCGGTGCCGAGCAGCTTGGCGGGATCGTCAGGGAGTCCTAGAGACTGGTAGAATCAAGTCGCACATGGTGAACTCGGCTGAATAACATCATCGAAACGACGCTTCTGTGTCGGCAGGTTCTGGGTGCAGCGGCGCGGTGCGGAGGTGAAGCAGGCGCAGCACTTGCCGAAGCTGAGGCTTCATGAGGTTAACGTTTAGGGTTTAGGGTTCTAGTTCTGCGGCCAGGCACACCGCGGAATGAACTGGCATTTTGACAAGGCCTCTACCGACCATGTAGCCGATCAGAAACTCCAATCAGTCAAGAGAACTGCCACTGGAATCCTGTAGGATGAAGATCTGCTAGATGATGTGGGCCTTTGCGTCCATCCGCTGGTCGCCACAGCCACTTACCTCACCGATCAAGGCGCACAGCCGAACAACCAATGCGAAGATCGCCGTGTTTATGAATGTTCCCACTCAGTTGTCAGCAATAACTATTTTTCGGTTTACCAATGGCTCGAGCAACGTTCCTCAGGTGCTCCGCTGGTGATTCTCTCGGCGCCGACCTTGCGCCGTCAAGAAGATGGCGCGCCCGATGCAAATGCACCTCCTCCCAGGTGGGGTGCAATCAGTTTTTGCGACGGCGAGTTGAATGCGGCGTGGTCGCAAAGTCTTAACGAACGATGTGACGCTTGTTGCTGTTAAGAGCACAGTGTGGAAATCCAGCAGACACACGTCCTGCGCCCTCATGCCTCATATCTCACATGCCTCATGCACTCTGCCCAACATGCGGCTTGATCTCTGGCGAGTCCTGGGAGCGATGCGGCGGCGTTCGTCGCATTCCCTGCGCGAGGGCTGCACGTTGCCTTCGGTGCTTGGCTGCACAAGACTTAAGGCTGCCAGGCTGGTGTGTGTGCGTGTGTCTGTGCGTGCGTGCGTGCGTGTGCGTGTGTGTGTGTGTGTGTGTGTGTGTGTGTGTGTGGTTCTTCCAGGTCTGAAGCTGGGGCTCAAGACGTGCAGATGAACAGGTGCTTGCCTTCTCTCTCTTGCCTTCCTTTCAAGGTGGCGACTTGCTGCATGGTGTCCCAGCAGAGCTGGAATGCAGACCGGGAGAACGCTTGGCTCTCCTGGTGAATGCCGAGTGCTCAGCAGCTATGCGACAATGCACGAGTGCAGAGAATGTCGGAAACCAGACACCCTTTTCCGAAGCTCTTCAACGCGTCATTGTCAGCTTTCCTCCTCGAGTCCTCTGGGAATCACTCGCAATATGATGTCTGCGGTCGGCTCTATGCTACAGATTCCTTTTGGCAACAGGTCTGGCTGCACCACCGCCCCTCCGGCCTGCAGAGCTGTGGCAAATCCTCTGGCACGACGAGAGGCAGAGACAGTCCAGATGCGACATGCCCATGAGTGGTGCTGCCTTTGTATCGCTGCCTGTCCATGTTGCGGCATCCTCCGGTGACACTGCTGATGTGTTGTACCCCATACGCCAGACCTGTGTGAAGTTTGTTTTGCTCAGTTTTGATTTAGGAGGTGGCATAATTGCAGCAAAGCCGCTTGTGATGTTTCCTTGCAGGTTCGACGAAGCCTGGGTCAGCTTTGCGTGCTCCAGCTGCTATCAGCCAAGAAGACCTGCATCCTTGGGTTGGAAAACGTTGAAAGAGAAGTATGCCATATCAATCGGTGCATAGCAGATCTCATTGGCGAATAACTTCAACTTTGTGCCTGTGAGGTGTCCGGCATCGGCGCTGCCCAAAAAGTGGTTTGGCGATATCGCCAGGGCTTGCTCAATGGCTCTCTGGCTAAATTAGACGTTTTGCTGGCAACATGTCCTTGTATCACTTGCTGTCGTCAAGTCAGAGACAGGTTGAGGTCTGTAGAGAGGCCGGCATTTGTGGAAGCCGGTGCTTTGAGCAGAGGCATGTTGACGGCCTTCGGAGCCTTTGCTGCATTCGCTGTGGTCTGACGTCCTCGGTGCATGTGACCACAGTACCGGGCAGAGTGCAAGGTGACCAGGACCCGTTGCCTACAGAAGATGCTCAAGAGACCCTTCTCTCGCCTCCCGGGTGCTCCTTCGCAGTGCGGCCGTTCTCAGGATTCCGCGTGACTTGCACGAGGGCGTTTGGCGGATTCAGCAGAAGCAGCTCAGAGTTGTGAGTCGCAAGAGGAAGAGCAGCTAGCGAAAGCAATTGACTCGTAGCATCCAACGAAGATGCTCGATCCCGTGACGCTCCCCTCAGGCCCTGTTGCTGCGCAAAGTTTCACAGCATTGGCGCTCGCGTAGAAAGGTTTGCATGGGCACTGTACTTTGGCTCAGGCTGCGACCAGCAATGCCTTGCCTGCAACGATAGCACGTCTGGCACATCGAAATGCAATCTTCCCGGCGGATTCTGTGACTCAGGCAGTGCTTGTGTTTCGGATGAGGCGCGGTGCATGGAGCACTTTGACGTTACCAGCATACACGGCTCAACTTGGCGGGTTTGACTTCAGCGCCTGAGGCCACAGTTTATGCATGACAGTATGAACTATGTCAGTGGATCACGTCAGAGCATGCAAATGCAAGGCATATCGTGCGGTATGTTGATGTTCGTGCTTTTTCCAGTAATCAGTACAGTTGGCCTCCAAATCGAAATCAACCTCCCGCCAATCGTTCGCTGGACAGGCATGGCGCATCGTGTGTTGACCTGTGGCAATTCGGTCGCATAAAACGGTATTCGGAACCAGAGCGGCGCTTTAGATGAGCGCGAGTATGATGAGTCTTGCTTTCATTGTCTCGGTTTCAGTGGGCTTGAAGGTCAAAAGGGGTGGGGAGTCTGCACCGGGGGTGCAGTAGCCCGCACATCTTCACAAGCCGTTCAAGCTTTACGGGTTTCGAAGTCCAGGTCCGTGATACTGGCCTCGCTTCTGAGTCGATTCTTCACTCGCGATGTCTGGTGCTTGGTGTCCCGGCGCAGCAGCCCAAGCGGCGCAAGAGGGAGTTTCCGAAGCCTTCCCAAGCCTCCCAAACCTCCCGAAGCCCCCAGCCGTCCAGTGAAGGTGGACATCGCCTCTCACCTCGGCGGCTGCGCTGCCGGAGGTATCGTCAGCTACTGGACTGCAAGAAAGCTGAGCCACAAAAGCGAAGCCCATGTCGAAGATTTGGAGCATGCTTCGCGAAGGCTTCTGTTCGGAGGGTTTCACAAGAGAACAACCCCAGTCTGAAGGTAGATGGGCATGTTGCTTTGAGGCTTCACTCGTGTAACGTTGCATTCGCACGTTCACGTTGTTCGGTCAGGTTACTTGTGGGGGCCGCGTCTTCTGTGGCAGGGTGCTTAGTTTGTCTCACAACCTCACCGGCAACATCAGACCTGTTCGGCATGCCATTTTTTTCGCTGTCAGCCATCCCGGATGCAGAGAGCTGCAAAATGTCGACAAGCCATGCGCAGCCTCTGCCAGCCTGCTTAGGTCCTACGGAGGTTTGGTAGTGAGAAGTGCGCCCATCATAACGTGGCCGTTTACCTGAGAGGCAAAAGCATGTTTGCGTCGGCTATTGATTGTCTCGATGGCATCACTCATGTAGGTAACGCAAGGCTAGGGGGTACAGGTCTGTGAAGCTGCTGCGGCTGGATGACACGTATAAACCACAAACTGCAGGTCTCAGAGCGCAGCTGTTTCGAGCTTTGTCTGCTAAGCAGCCCAGAGCAGCATATGGGAGGTGGAATGGCACAAACAGGATCAAACAGGCATGTGTCAATGAGGTGATCGATCTCCACACTTCAGGGCAACCCGCCTTTGTTCACCGCCTGCTGGAGCCATGATGCTCACCGATGAAGCAACCTCCTGCACAGGGAGGCCAGGAAGATCTGCACGCGAGGCCATGAAGGCGTGCAGGATCAAGCAGCCTCCAAAAGAGGCTCTGAAACGCGGCCCCAGGCCCCCCCCCAGCCCGTCCTTTCGCAGGCCTTGGCCGATGCCTCGTCGCAAGGCTGCGCGTGGGGGGGCCCCTAAAGGCAGAGGAGGCGCGAGATGCCCGGGACCCGGTGAAGTGGAGCTCCCACAAAGACTGTTGTTCTGATGAGGCTACTTGTCAGAACCATGCCGTATGTAGTTCAGTTGACATAGTTAGCAACGGGTAGGGATGCTGATGATAGAAGTAGTATTGGCCACTAGTCACCTCAACAGAACTAAGAAAGTTTCAAGCGTACTACCGATTGCACTAATGCACTGATGCGAGGTAGCTTTGCAGCTGTTGGAGCCTGGTGTGGTGACTCGGGCAAAGGCCAGGTCCCCAAAGCCTGCAGTCGGAATGAAAACGAGCATGACATAAAAGCAAGAGCGGCTCGATGGCAACTAAGATGTGCACTGTATATGCTGGCAGTCGCATCTGCATTATGAACAATGGATGCTTGTAACAGCGTGGTCAAGAACAAGCGAGGTAGTCTTCGTCGTCGACGTCACTGTAGGAGATAGCGTTGGGTTCGAAAAACAATACCGTGCAACATACTTGCAAATTCAGTAAGAGTCGGCACGATATCATCAGCACTTTTCAGAAGTACTAGTAGTAGGGCTTGAAAGCCACTCTGAGAAATGCAGTACTTTTGCAGCTGATGAGAACACTGTACGAATAGTAGCGCACGCGAAACTACACTGACAACATTGTGCCAGGCTAGGAGAAGAAGGCCACCTCAGCTTGCGAATTGGCCTTTGCTTTGACAGGATGGCACAGCTGTCCTGGCAGCCTTTGCCAGACACGGCCTTTGGAGGGAGGCTGGGAGCTGTCAGACATGGGCGCGGGCTCCCCCCAGCCATAGGCCATGGATGGCCATGGGCCGTGCTCTGATGCGAGGCATTGGCACTCCTGCATTCCTTGCGAGGCCCTGCAACCTCCCATGCTTGCGGTTGCCTTCACGTTTTGGTGAGCACAAGAGCTCTGAACGGTAAGGCGGCGCCGGCGTGGACACAGTGCTGTGCAACGCCTGCATTGCGGTCTGTGGCAAGGTGAACGGGGTGAGACTTGTTGACGCTGATGGGCTCGTGCTGCTCTGCAGGCAAGCTGCTGGGAGGTGGCTGCGTCGCTGCTGTGCAGCATGTGCGCGGCCCAGATTGATTGTGGACAACGAGATCGCGCCTGCGAGACCAGACCGCCATCATAAGCCACACTGCAGGTCGCTCTATCGCGTGTCGCCCGATGTCATTTCCTTTGGTGCTGTCCTGAACTCACTGGAGAAGGCGCAGTGGCAAGAATTTTCGGCTTTGATGATTTGTTCAGTCTGCCAGTGGGTTCTCGCACATGTTGGCTCCCAAAGAGGTTGCACCCAGGTTGCAGGCGCGGGCATGCAGGTGCAGTAACTACCTTTGCACCCGCAGCTTGGGCTCAGAACCATCGATCAAGAGCCTTTATGTATGTAGACTGATGGAGGTCGCATTACCCAGTGCCAGAGCCTCCAGCTGCTTCGGCCTGCTCTGGCTGATCGAGGAAGTCTTATGCATCAACTGGCTGGCTCTAGACTCCTAGACTCTAGACTCTAGGCTGCTACCCAACATGCGACATGAGTTCAATTGCAGACATGGTTGCGAGGACGAGGAAGCAGGAACTTTCGCCGTGCTCAGCAGAAGATCTTTCATTGAAGTGGCCGTGGTGCGGGAAGGCACGGATGTCCGCGCAGCAAGCACATTTCGTGTAGATTCCGTGTCCTTTGCATGAAGGCGTTCCCAAAAGAAAGGAGATGTGCATGAGATTTGTGTAGTATTGCTGTACTGCACTGTACTGTGTTGTACTGTGAGTTTCTGTCAAGGCGGAATTCGACGTTGCCAGTCGGAGCCCAAGCTGGCAGTCCCCAGGCCAGGCCGGAAGAGCCCGAACTCATGTCGATAGCTTCGTCGACTCATCTGGACGGGATCTCTTGCAGGTTCGTGCGCGATGGAGACCGCGAAGCCAATGTGGCAGAGAAGCCTCCAGCAGGGCTGCTCGAGCTGAAGGAAGACATGACCAGTGTGCTCGCCGGCAAAGTCGAGGGAGCTGGTGCCACGACGTCCGTTTGGCAGAGCCATCGTGCTGGAGTGTGCACACCATGTCTGTTTTATACAAGGAAGAGTGATGGATGCCGCCTAGGAGAGGCATGCCCGTTTTGTCATTTCTGCTCAGCGGAGCAGGCAAGCCGCAGAAGGAACCATCTTCTGTGGCAGCGTAGAAAGGAGAAGCGGAAGGCATCTCAGCAAGAAGCTTCCAGCACTGTTTGACGTACGCAGCATAGGCAGCATTTTAAGGTGATCCTTGCATTCAGGCAGCTCGATGCCTGAGCGAGTAGAGAAGCCCAGGAAGTGTTTACCAACGCAGCAGCATGGAGAACTTATTCGCCAAGTTATATAAGAAGTTATCGTCAGTGACGGAAGAGCCAGTCGATGACATGATTCAGAGACCCTTCCCCAAGGAACCGTATGTACAGCAAAGTAAGGATCGCCAGTGCCATCCCGTGCCTACCTCGCGTGAATGAGCAGCTCCTCTGTCCGCGAGGATGGGTTGATGACGCCAATTGGCGAGTGTCGCAAGCTTGAGCAAATGCTTGCGGATTGAGCCCTTTTCAATGGATGTAGATTTAAACGTGGCGTTCGATGGGCGTGGTGGGCCGTGTTGATTTAAACGAAACGTGATAACTACATACCTGAAATAACCATGAACTGGCTATGTTGGAAAAAGTGCATGAAAACGTGACAGCCAGGTGAAGTTGATCCAAAAAACACAATGTCATTCTACTGATTTGTATGATAGGGGCAAGGCTTCTATCGTGACTCTGGGTCTTTAGCATGGAGCTTTCGGGTTTGGGGCCACGTTTCTGGCATGTGTTTTTTGCACTTTTGCTTAGAGAAAACGCCCATGTCGGCCGCCCCACCTGTTCCCAAAGCGTCCCAGAGGCCCAGAGTTTCAGAGGAGCCCGGACCCAAGCCCAAGCCCAGGGGTTGATTCCTTGCAGATGTGCAAATACAACTTCCGCGCAGTCCTTGCAGATCGCTTTTAGTATATTATCACATAGTTTCTACTGTAAGGCCCACATAGCATCCATGCCTCAGCTTGTTTTCACGTTTTACTGAGGACGATGTATTTTCGGTTTCTACCACAGCTTTATATCACGTTTCTTGTACGTTTCTGGCAGGTTTATTGTACGTTTTGGTCGTTGTTTCAGGTTTCATTTAAATTGTATATCCAGCCACCCCAATTCGAACGCCACTTTCAAATGTAAATGCTTCCATTGACGACATGAAATGGATGATCGTCCTGTGCTGCAACTGAGTCGTCAAAAAGCGCGGCTCTGCACTGAACGCACATGCAATGAGGTCTAGCAGGTCTGCAAGCGCTGACAGCTTGTGATAGGTGGGCGAATGGCAGCGCTCAGTGCGGCTGCTGTCAGAAATGGCAAATGCACAGGTGCGACGGCACTGAGTGATAGCTTCAGTCTTCTTGAAGGCGTCGTTCAACATATTTGGTAATCTGCATTAGTGTCCGTTTGAGCTCGCATCGCATTTCATTTTACAGATTGATCACTGTCCACATTCGGGGAATGCAGTTCTCAGCGCATGGCTGATGGTGTAGCAAACTTGGTGTTGTTGGTGACATCGATCGGCATGCACAGTGCGCATCTGATGTTCTAGTAGAGTTGGCTTCTTGGCTGGATTGCCCTTGTCTGCATTGAGTCTGCATGGTGGTTTGTCCTCGGTGTTGTCGTCGCCGCGGTGACGCCGATCAGCCACTGACGGAATGCATCAATCGGCGTGCACACCGGGGCATTGCAGTTCGCAGAGCGCAGCTGATGCTCTAGCACACACACACACAAACACAAGGAGACAGACACACGAGCGCGCACTGTCGTCATCATCATCTTCTCACCGTCGCCCCCCTTTCTGGCAATCGTTCTTATGGCTCACCGTAAAGCATCCAATGAGAAATCGTCGGATGATACGACCAGCTCTTCTAACAGCTCGTCTGTTTGCAAAACGGTCCCCATCAGCCTGATCGGCGCCGGTCATACCTCCTTGCGTCCACACTGGAGATCGGCATTTTCAATCGGGACCAACACGTACTTTACGCTGCATCCTGACAATTGAGCTTACGGGACTTGGAGACTTCAAGCAGCGTCCGCACTGGGGTTTCGCATGTAGACTCGGGGCCAGAATGTATTCTAGATTGCATTGAAAAGCGAAGCTCACAGCGTCCACGGCTCATCCTGCCAAGTGAGCTCCCGTGACGTGGAGACTACAAACCTGGTCCACAATGGGGTTTCGCATATTCTGAGGTGTACTCTCGCCATTGATGTGTAAGTCTTTGATGAAGTGTCGACACTCGGAGTGATGCGCCTGGTAGCCTCAGGTCACATGCCAGTCAAGTGAGTTCTGCAGCTTTACCACGCCCGAAAACGGTAGCAGTGATGCGCGAGGTGAAGCCCAACGTCGTAGTGTTCAACTCTGCCATCAGTGCCTGCCAAAAGGGCAACAGCGAAGGCAACTGTTTATGCAAGCACTGCTGATCTCGTTTAAGGTTGTCCATGCATCTTTTCGTTTTGTCTTATGCTACGCTGTCAGAAGCTGCGCTGGCCCTTCTGCAAACCCTGGACTCAGCCAGTGTTGAGCCCGACGTCGTGACGTCCGGCGCTCAGGAAAGGCAGTCGCGCCGTACTCAGGAAACCTTTTCGTAACTTGACGAGAATGCCGGCCCAGTTTCAACGCCGCCCTGAGCGCCTGCCGCCGCTGGGCAAAGGCTAAGGAGCTGCGCAGCGACCTCCGAGAACGAGGCCCGTTGCTGACTGCCTTGGTGGCTGAGTCGAAGAGTTTCCAAGTCTTCGGAGGCCTTGTTGAAGACATCTACACCTTCAACTCGCACATCACTCAGTACCTCTCGGGCCTGTATTTTCTGTTGATTTCTGTCGGTAGTCATCAGAAGCTACGAAGCAGTTTTCTTCTGATCCTTTCTGCTGGTGCAAGGCGGGGTTACTCTACCCACCTACTGTTGGTCAGCACGATGTGCACATTCTTACCTCTCACACGCCAATATCGGCACGGTCACCCAGCCTGATATACCTTCGTATTGTCATTTGAAGTTACATGAAGCGACAGGGTTTATTGACGACCATGTTGTACTGTTGTTGGTGTGATGTATGCAAATGCCGTTTTGCTCGACTTTGTTGGTGCAGGTCTCGCTTTGAATGGTGTTCGTTTGGCAGCTTTGTGGTGATGCTCTTCGTTGCGTCTCTGGTCATGCACGTGGCTAGCTGTGATCTTGCTGATGGTGCTGATGCTAGTGCTGGTGGCGGGTCGTTGCTTTCGTTTAGGATGATGGCGGAGGATGAGAATGATGATGAGAATAATGATGATGTTGAGGTGGAAGAGCAGGAGGTGGAGGGGAGGATGAACATGATGACGATCAGGACGACAGCGACGACAACTGTAGCTCTTCCAAGGGACTCTCCAATGCCTGCTCGAGGCTCCTTTCTGTTGCCGAGCGATGTCTTCGATGGGACGTCGCGCTGCAGTTGTTGGAGGACTTGAGGGGACTAGCCGAGAATTGCATCAGCTCTCATCATCATCTGCAGAGGAAATGCCCAGCGCTGACTTGGCCCCGGACGTGGTGTCGTTTAGCACGACCATCTCCGCCTGTGAGAAGGCGATGAAGACCGCTCCTGGAATGCTGACAATGACAACGAGGGCACAGTGGTGTCAGTCCTCGAAGGCCCTGCGCTGGGAGATGGCCTTGGCACTATTGGAGGAAATGAGCCGGACACTTACAGCGCAACATACTGCAACTGCTCAGCCGCTTGCTCGGGCTGGAGTTTCAGAAGTCCGACTGCACTTGAATGTAAAGTACGCTGCTGTTGCTCCAGTACCTGTCCTTGCAGAAGCGGAATGTTATGTCCGTTCTCGTCGTCAAGTTGTCACTGAGCCTCAGGAGTTCGGAAAGTCGCGCCAAATGCTTTCACATTTGGCGCAGCAGCGAGCGCTTGTGAAGCATGCGGGGCCCCCCAGGAATGTCACAGCTTGTGCCTGGAGCCTGGAGCTGCTGAGCTGCTGTTTCCTGATCACGACCAGAGTGCAAGCGAGGCCGCCAATGGGAGCGTGCGCTGCGCCCTGAGAAGCAGACCGGGTACTCATGAGCCAGGAGCTCCCCAGGTACTTGTAGCATTTTGCAGCAAGCGGTTAAACAGACTTAACGCAACAAGTTCTGTTGGCAGGACCATGACGCGAGAGTAAGTGAACGAATTGGTACAGCATGTTCACCCAAGCTGTGTAGCGTACATTGTATACGAGTAGAGTAGGGATCTGCAAGCATTCCCGTGGTTGGCACCATGTCTACGAACAAGCCAGACAAGATGCCACAGCCAACATTCAGGAGGTACCCAAAAGGAGAGGAAGCACACTAGTTGGGTGCTGGTAGAACGAGAACAGCTGTAGCCGTCGCATCTCAGACCGGCTCCAGAAGGCGTCTTCACAGCTTCTCTCCACGACGAGTTGCAGGCAACATGAACCGGACAGTGAGGCAAAGCGCAGATATGGCGATGCTTGGAGGAAGGTAGGAGTGGCAGGAACAGAGACGACAATCGAATAGCAAAGCCGTGAAGGGAACGGGGGCTGGGGGCGGTTGTGGGGTGGGGCGCGGAGGTGGAAATGCGGCCGAGCGCCAGCCGGAGTTAGAGAGGAGTGCACCAGCATAGTAGCCCGGAGAGGGTCGACCGAGAGGTCGTGTGAAGTCTAGAGTCTAGAGTCTAAAGCTTGAATCGAACTTGTCTCTGCCTCGACTGGACATCATGCATTTTTTTCTTTTTGAACGCGTCGTGCCCTCTGACTTTCATTTCGCGTCCATTACTCTGATCGTGCTTTGAATGGCAGATGTTGATGCTTTCATTGTTGCAGCCCCGCATCCCATGCGTAGCTTAGAGGGCTAGAATCTAGAAGTGGCTTTGGCGACTGCTGCAAATAGCCCATGAAGTCCGATGTCAAAGAGCAGCTTCTGGTGTAAGCCCCAAGCTTCCCACATGACCAGATGGCAGTCCCATCTCGAGACCACTCCAAGACCCCATGATGGTGTTCCACTCGTGGGAGAGGTACGACTCGCAGACAAAGTACCGTGGCGACCTTTTTGCAAAGGAAACAAAACGCCGGAACCTATGACCCTGCCCGGCACGACTTCAGAGCCTTGGGAAGGCCGTGTTTGCAGTCAACAGCAGGGCCTTGGCGAAGCGCTGTATGTCAGAGTCTTGTGTTCAATCCAGTTGCACGACAAGGCCGGCACGAGACTGAGGGCAAAATCCGCGCCGCTACTGTACGCGTCATGAACCCACCGAACGCTTTGTACCCAGTTTCTCAACTGGCCTGAACAGACCCATCCAGTGTTGCTCCAGTGTTTGGGTAACGAATGCCCGCTCAGGATGGCCCTGCTCGCGAATGCCGGCAGTTTCAGCATCACCGCCAATGTTGTGCACCCGGACAGTTTGGCGTGCGCAACGACTGTCTTTGCGGGAAGGTCGTTAGCGTTTTTTGTTTGTATTTGTTTGTCATGCCCTAATGTGGGAGGAAGGTACGCCTGATTCTGAAAAGCCCGGCGTGAACGCTTTCCATCTGAACTTCCGAGTCCATCCTGTGTGGCGTGCTGCTCAGCACTTGCGCTCGCGGTGCATGTTGGGCTCGGTGCTCAGAGGTCCCTCGATGTCACGTGCGGAATGCGCTTCAGGCCTGTGCTCAATCAAGGCCATGGCCATGGAAGTGCTGCAAGAGATGCAAAGTGCGGACGCCAGACCGGTCAATGTTTGAAAAGGCATGCTAGACAAGCTAGTCGCAGCTAGCAGCGACATCTAAGAGCCTGGCAACATGCATACTGGTGCAATCTCCCCACTAGCCACCGTATAGATCCTCGATCAAATATCAAAGTGCATCGAGCAGCGACGATGAATTGTGGGCTCTGGGCCTGGATTGTGCTCCAGCTGGCATGCTGCAATCAGACAATCAGCAAGCCACCAGCGTCCAGCAGCGGCAATGTAGACTCGGAAAGATGACACGGCCTTATGACACAACACAGTCCCTTCGTCGTGCTGGTCGCAACGATGCTACGGCTCATCGCATGCTGTAGCCATGTTCAGGCCTGCAAATACCCGCAACGGCACGGACCACAGATGCTTGTGCAGACTTTTTGCGATGTCTTGGACAGCTGGAATTCGGCCTGAATCAGAATCGGAGCAGACTCAAACGTGTAATGGTATATTGACGTTCTTGACTTCTTCACGTGCTCAACTCTCCGAGCTATGTAGCGTGGTCTTGCGTGGCATGCCTGCGCTGCACCTGAGGCTGTGGCTCAGAATGCAGCACTCGCTGCCTTGGCAGCCACCGGGGTTTGGCGGCATTCGCACCTTGGACCTTGTGGCTCGTAGTAGCGTGAGACGTGGTTTGATGAGCCCTTTTGTTGCAGTTCGACTGGCATCTACAAGAATCGGCTCCTTCATTAGTCTGCATTTTGCCGCAACAGCTCTGTCACTGCGCGGCCTGCAAATGCAACCGTGTCGTTGGGCCGAGTTTAAGGCTTTCCTTGATCTCGACTGCAAAAGAGCTTGACTCCGTCGGTCTTGGCGAAGTTGTCAGGAGCCGAATGGGGATTTGGAAAAGCCGTAATAGACAATATGGTGCCAGGGTGCCATCTGTTGCTGTCCTTTGCGATGCTGGTGCAAAGGAGCTGTGCGGTAGCTTCGAAGTGGCAGCAGGTCCTGCCTGGGCCCCGAAACATCGGCATGGATTGAGGAAGGCAACAGGCTCTGACGGGCAGAACGTTTCACCAGCCTAGCCGGCCTCGCCGTCACTCCTCTGGTCAGATCTGCAAGGCTGCGGCATCCAGCAAGTGAGTTGCACTGTAGCTGACTGAGGCAACTGGGGCTGGAGACGGAAAGTCGCTGGGGGTTTTCGCCAGATGCCCAAAGTGCTCCGGCAGATTCTTTCCTCTAGCGATGCAGTTGCCACCGGTCACTAGCTTTCAGAAAGCATCAAGTGCAGCCCAAAAGCCGCGTCTGTCGCTTCACATGCTTCCTTCGCCTTTAGCTCAGTCACACCGGCAGCGCTAGACCAGTAGCTTCGTCATGGCTGCCGTGCAAGTGGTGCAGTTGCCGCCTGCCTTTTGCGGCGAGCAGGCAATTTACGGGCCTCACTACCGCGGAGGCCTGGCGCCGCCACCGGATTGGTGGGCACAGGCTGCCCAAGCCTGCGCCCTAACGCCATTCCAAGTTGCAGCGTTGCAACAAATGTTCCAGCCTTGCCGCTGGCAGACCATCAATGGCTTCAGTTACCAGCCGGTACAAGCTCAAGCGCCAATGATGCAGATGGCCACTCCTCACTTTGCACCCCCTGCACCCCCTACGCCTGGGCCTTCCCCTACACAGCAAGCTTACCCGCAAGCACTCCATCCAGCACCAGCACTCCATCCAGCACCTGCGGCAAGCATCCCAACGTCGGCCCCCACGAGCTCACCCAAAAGCCCAGCGCAACCTTCCTGGGCGGACTTGTCGGAGGATCTAACTCCACCGAGCCTGAACGAGGAGTTGCCAACTCTGCTCCCCAAGCCGAGCAAGGGCAACGGGAAGGGAAACAAGGGAAAGGGAAAGACTGCCAAGAAGTCCTCCAAAGGAACGGGCAAAGGCAGAAACGGTGGCATGTGGCATGCCAACTACTCCGACTATTCCTGGAAATACCAGAGCTACCAGTACTGCGGCTGGTACTGAGTTCAACGCGATGGTAGGAGAGTGTCACCCGTACGTGCAGCTGTTCAGCAGGCTGGTAGGGCATGGCGGCATGACTAAGTCATCTGCCTGTCGGCGAGAGACAAGGGGCGACAAAGCCTCCCCCGAGCGGAATGCTTTCCTCATGTTGAGGAAACACTTGTCTTCCCAGACGGAAAAAGCAGACGCCTATGGGCTTAGTGGGGTAGGCTGAGCTCGCTGGATGTTGGCTCGCTTATGCATCACACTGACGATTTGCAGAGGCCCGATGCTCCCCTGATTGCCTTGGTGACCGACTCTGCCCTGACGGTGGGTCAAGCTGGCGTGGAACTCAGCTTCCGAAGCCACCGTCCTACGACGCTAGTTGCCTTCAGGTCCCCTCCCGCAGCTGCGCGCAACGGCGCAGGCTCTGTACCTCGGCGAAGGGTGTGGGCACAGCCTTTGCTCTTGAGAAGGCAGTGCTTCTCAGACTGCCTGACGCACGGACTGCTGCGCGTGCCTGGGACCTGGCGATAGAGTGCAGAAGACATTGCGAAGCCGACGTACCCCATGCTAATCTCGCATGGAGCTATGCAGGTCAAGCAAGCAGACCCTGCTGTTGTATTGGTGGATGTTCTGTCAGAGGCGACTTTGCCTCGCTTTGTTCTGCGGTCCGAGTCGGATCCCATGTCAGCTCTTGCAGGTTGGCGTGGTGCCCACGATCTGCAGAGCGGCTTTTGGCCGCTTCAGATCTGCTGCCACCCCAAAGAGATGCAAGCGCGGTGTGTGCTGTGGCGCATCACACAGCAAGGCCGCTCAACGGGGTTTGGCAGCCATTGTGGCCGAGAGGAAGGTGGGGACTCCCGAAGCAAAGATGCAAAAAGGCTGCCAAGAACAGTCGGTGAAAGGCTGTGAACGTTGCCGAGCTCTTGCGTGCACCTGAAATCGAAGAATCCTTCAGTTCCGTGCTCGGAGGGCCTTCGCCGGGCATCAAAATACCATTGTTCCATACCGCGAGGTCTCGGCGCTGACTTGACGGCCTCATTCTTCGCGTCGGCTGCAAGCTGGCTTCCGATGGCACGCCCGCGCACTCGGCATGATCAGCTGCAAGAGCAACGGGATTCTCGAATTTCACCCACCCTTTATTGCTCTCTGGCAGTCCCTTGCTTCCATGACCTCCATGTCTGCAAAATGGAGTCGTGCTCTTGGTAAGGTGGCAGGTCATTAGGAAATCACAAGCGCACTTTGATTGCACTCAATCATGCGCTCACCGGCTTCTCAGCTCAACACACCACGGCCAGTAGACACAGCAGTAGCAAACGACAATGCTTATGGGAGCGACTCTTCGAGCCGACCGTGCACGAGCGACAACGAGTTCTCGGATTTTGCTCCAAAAGGGCGAACGGCGAGCAGGTCGACACAGCATCAAATCTGAATGCGGGGCTAGGGGAGCTGATTTCGATTTTGCGAAGATGCGATTTGTGCCATGAGCCGACGTATTTCCAGGATGCAAAAGCACGGTCCCGCAATTCGTACACAGTACGCCTCCGCCTTCTAGTCTGGGTTTGGTCACGGGCGGGAGATAGTATGATGCTGTGGTGCTTTTCAAACCATTTGCCTGATGAGTCAGAACTATCATGACGACAGTTTTAACGAGGGGCTGCTAGTATCTCCGATTGCTTCGGCAGCTTCCTGGCTTCTGTCCGGATCACGTGGATCATCCCGTACTGGTAGTAGGTATGACCAGCCAGAAACGTTCAAACCGCAGGCCTGAAGACCTCAGCCCGAACGTCCAGTAGTCCCACAACTCTTGTTTATGACTATGAGTAGGAGTATGTGTATTCTTCTTGATTCGTCTCATTATTCTTCTTACTCTTCCCGGAGAGACCCCAAAGCCTAAACCCCAAAAAGCAACCCTGAACCGCTGAAGCCCGAACTCCTTCAGACCCAGGCCTGGCAACTCGCAGGGCTTCACGGAACTCAGGCACGCTCAGCCGGAGGGGGAGGGGGGGGCGGGGCGGGGGGTCTCTGTTTGGGGCTTCCAAGGCTTCGCGTTTCAGGGCTGCGGATGAGCGGCTTCGGGCTTGTAGAGAGGTCTTGACAGATTGGAATCGAAGTTCGGCTGAACTGTCTTGAAGCTGCGGCAGCTGGAGGATCTCCAATGCCGCGCAAGTGGATCACGCAGTCCCACCGCAGCATGTCGATTTCAAGCGCACATCACTCCGCACTCAAGCCCGAGAGCATGTCAACTCATCCTTCAGTGGGACGAGCAGCCTCGAGCCGTGGCGTTTCCCGGGATTCCGCACAAGCAGAGTGCATTGGGGAGACTGCTTTTCCCACAGGGACAGTGGCTGGGGGAGGCAAAAGAGGTGTTGGTCGCTATCATGTCGAAAGGCAGCTGTCCGATCAGCTTCCCAAACTCTACATCTTGCAAGCTCGTGCACCGACGCCTCAGACCTGAACTCTAACTTCAAACCACAGCCCGAAGCCCTGAAACCTTAGCACCCGAAACTCCCGGAAGTGCTGCCTTCCATCTCCAGGTCTCGTCGACCAGGCCGAGGCCCGGACGACCCAAGCAGATTTAGAGCACAACCCACAACCTTCAGCTTCAAATTGGGGCGTCGTCGCGGTAGCAGCTCAGGAAGACCAGGTAGGGTAGCAACACTCGCGGAAGTCGCACCCGGGGCAGATGTGGGAGTTCAGTGAAGACAGGACTTGATGGCTTTGGCCGTGGCAGCCTGGAGCGAGGAGGAGCCGAGAGCTTGTGAGAAAAGAAGTCATATATATATATATATATATATTATATCTATATTATATCTACATGTGTATATATATATATATATATTATAAAATATGTATTACATATATTGTATATATCATGGACTTGGGAGGCACTTTGCAGTGGACTGCATCGGGGCCGGACGGCCGCTGGACCGGGTAGACCCGCCGACGATGTGGGGAGCGTCGAGATCTGCGCTTTCCAAGGTTGGCCAGGGAGCCACGGAGATCATGACACTCCCAAGGCGGCGCTCGGGCCGGGTAGGTTCGGTAGTTGCAAAGCTGCTCTGGAGGGGAGATGCCTCACATTCTTTGCACAGGCTGCTGCCCGTTTTTGCAGGGCACGACCGCTCTTCCCATGCTGCCGCCTCGGAACACTGCCTTCCCGAAGCACTTTGGTCTCTGGTGGGCCCCTGTCAGGCAGAACGGCAGGCGCTGCTTCGGATTCTTCGAGGACCGCGCAGATCTCGGCACAGGCCATTCTGCACAGCTGCATGATGTTTGCAGGCTGCTCGCTGCGGGATAGTGCTGGCAGCTACACAGCGAGAAAAGGCGACCGCCGCAGAGCTCTCACCTGCGATGCGGCAGAGAGGCTTCACGTTGCCGGGCTGATCGGAGGCTGCCCCTTCGCTCCATCACCAACTAAGCTTGTACCTGCTGCCACTTACTTCCAAATACCCCTTGGGCTTTCGAGTTGCAAAGCCTGATGGAACAGCAAGGCTCGTTGTCAGCGCGCAGCTTGAAGTGGCGATGCCACCAGGAATCTGGCTCACAGCTTTGACACAGATCGGGAATGCCCCCCGGCCGACGGTCCTCGAAACAGAAGCAGGCGGGCTCATCGTTTCTTTGTAGGGCTGGAGCCAGAGCCAGGAACATTGAAGAAGAAACGTATTTGGAGAGACCGTAAAAGCCTCATCCAGCGCAAGATTAGACTCCGCAGTTGGCCGATGCGAAGTCTGTGTTCTTCCAGCCACCAGTATGTCGAACCGGCTTTAGAGGTCACCGGATCAGCAGTGTTGTAACCCGACAGTGTTTCATGTCCGGAGTCCCGTCTCAGGCTAGGTCTACCAGCTTGAAACGAACTCCATCACGAAGCAGCCTTCTTTTGCTGCCAGCTGCTGCGACAGCTTGAGACGCGTGTTGCGCAATAAGGAGCTGTGCTGCGGTGGCTTTGACGTGGAAACAGCAAGTCCTGCCTCGGCCCCCGATCGGCCCCGAAACATGAAGAGCACGTAATGTAAGGAAGGCGGCAAGAGGCTCTAACGGGGAGCCTGCCTCCTTGTGAAACGTTCTTACTCCTCTGGTCAGACTTGCCCGCCAAGTGCGTTGAACTGTAGCTGACTGAGGAAACTCACTGGGGGTTTTCGCCGGATGCCCAAAGTGCTCCGGCAGATTCTTTCCTCTAGCGATGCAGTTGTCACCGGTCACTAGCTTTTCAGAAAGCATCACGTGCGGCCCAATAGCCGTGTCCGTCGCTTCGCATGCTTCCTTCGCATATGGCTCAGTCACACCGGCAGCGCTCGACCAGTAGCTGCGTCATGGCGGCCGTGCAAGTGGTGCAGTTGCCGCCGGCGTTCTGGGGCGAACAAGCAGTGTACGGGCCTCACTACCGTGGGGGCCTGGCACCGCCGCCGGATTGGTGGGCACAGGCTGCCCAAGCCTGCGCCCTGAGCCAGTATCAAGTTGCAGCGCTGCAACAGCTGTTCCAGCCTTGCCGCTGGCAGACGGTCAATGAGTTCAGTTACCAGCCGGTACAAGCTCAAGCGCCAATGATGCAGATGGCAACTCCTCATTACACATCCCCTGCACCCCCCACTCCTGGGCCTTCCCCTACACAGCAAGCTTACCCGCAAGCACTCCATCCATCACTAGCGGCAAGCATCCCAACGTCGGCCCCCACGAGCTCACCCAAGAGCCCAGCGCAACCTTCCTGGGCGGACATGTCCGAGAATCTCGTTCCACCGAGCTACCATGAGTTGCCAACTCTGCTCCCCAAGCCTGGGAAGGGAAATAAGTGAAAGGGAAAGACTGCCAAGAAGTCACGGGCAAAGGCAGAGACGGTGGCAAGTGGTACACCGATTACGCGGACTACTGGAACTACCAGGGCTATTACTGATAGCCCTGGTAGCTCCAGTGGTCCGGGTAGGCCGTGTACTGCGGCTGGCACTGAGTTTACCTGCGATGGTAGGAGAGTGTCACCGGTACCTGCAACTGTTCAGAAGGCTGGTAGGGCACGGCGGCATGACTAAGTCATCTGCCTGTCGGCAAGAGACGAGGGGCGACAAAGCCTCCCCCGAGCTCAACGGATGTTTCCTCGAACGACGAATCACTTGCCTGCCCAGAAACGCAACGCACAAAAGCAGCCACTTGGATTGCATTGTCGGGTAGTTCGGGATCGCTTGAAGCTTACGTCGTGCATCACACGGACGACACTGGCAGAGGCCCGATGAACGACCTGACGTTGGGTCAGGGTGGCGTGGGGCTCAGCCAGAGCCAGGAATGTTGAAGAAGAGCAGCTTGCAAATAGTAAATAGCGAGAGCAGAGGTGCCGCAGGATAGATGTTGGCAGTCATTGCTCGGTGGGTCTTCTGTGAAAGAACTTCGGCAAACCGCAGGAAGAATCGCGTTAAACGAGCAAGTGAGTCGTGTAGGTCTGGCTCAGAACCGGCCAGCCCATCCAGCTGCAGCGCGCCCGGATATTTTTCAGGAGGTCATTTGCAGTAGCCTTATTTCCAAACTTGATTGGCGATCATCGTGACAAGACCAGGAACTAGCGATAATAGGCATGGTAGCCTAGTCGAGTGTTATCACCGATCACCACGAGTGCTCATCAACATGATATGGGCCAGAGCAAGTCTAGGAAAAGTAGTACTGCTAATTCTGCGAAAGTGTGCATGGATGCCGTGGCAGAGATTAAGGTGCCTAACTGCGACCTTGTCAGATGCTAGTAGCAAGTCCTGCCTCAGACCCGAAACCTGCGAATGTACTGAGGAAGAAAGCAAGGGAAAGTCGCTGGGGGTTTCGGCCGGATGCCCAAAGTGCTCTGGCAGAATTTGACCTCCAGTGCTCCTGCTTTCTCAACGAGCTAACTAGTAGCTTCAAGTGCGGCCCAATAGCCGTGTCCGTCGCTTCGCATGCTTCCTTCGCATATGGCTCAGTCACACCGGCAGCGCTCGACCAGTAGCTGCGTCATGGCGGCCGTGCAAGTGGTGCAGTTGCCGCCGGCGTTCTGGGGCGAACAAGCAGTGTACGGGCCTCACTACCGTGGGGCCTGGCACCGCCGCCGGATTGGTGGGCACAGGCTGCCCAAGCCTGCGCCCTGAGCCAGTATCAAGTTGCAGCGCTGCAACAGCTGTTCCAGCCTTGCCGCTGGCAAACGGTCAATGGGTTCAGTTACCAGCCGGTACAAGCTCAAGCGCCAATGATGCAGATGGCAACTCCTCATTACACATCCCCTGCACCCCCTACGCCTGGGCCTTCCCCTACACAGCAAGCTTACCCGCAAGCACTCCATCCAGCGCCAGCACTCCATCCAGCACCTGCGGCAAGCATCCCAACGTCGGCCCCCACGAGCTCACCCAAAAGCCCAGCGCAACCTTCCTGGGCGGACTTGTCGGAGGATCTAACTCCACCGAGCCTGAACGAGGAGTTGCCAACCTTGCTCCCCAAGCCGAGCAAGGGCAACGGGAAGGGAAACAAGGGAAAGGGAAAGACTGCCAAGAAGTCCTCCAAAGGAACGGGCAAAGGCAGAAACGGTGGCATGTGGCATGCCAACTACTCCGACTATTCCTGGAAATACCAGAGCTACCAGTACTGCGGCTGGTACTGAGTTCAACGCGATGTTAGGAGAGTGTCACCCATACCTGCAGCTGTTCAGCAGGCTGGAAGGGCATGGCGGCATGACTAAGTCAGCTGCCTGTCGGCAAGAGACGAGGGGCGACAAAGCCTCCCCCGAGCTCAACGGATGTTTCCTCGAACGACGAATCACTTGCCTGCCCAGAAACGCAACGCACAAAAGCAGACACTTGGATTGCATTGTCGCGTAGTTTGGGATCGCTTGAAGCTTACGTCGTGCATCACACGGACGACACTGGCAGAGGCCCGATGAACGACCTGACGTTGGGTCAGGGTGGCGTGGGGCTCAGCCAGAGCCAGGAATGTTGAAGAAGAGCAGCTTGCAAACAGTAAATAGCGAGAGCAGAGGTGCCGCAGGATAGATGTTGGCAGTCATTGCTCGGTGGGTCTTCTGTGAAAGAACTTCGGCAAACCGCAGGAAGAATCGCGTTAAACGAGCACGTGAGTCGTGTAGGTCTGGCTCAGAACCGGCCAGCCCATCCAGCTGCAGCGCGCCCGGATATTTTTCAGGAGGTCATTTGCAGTAGCCTTATTTCCAAACTTGATTGGCGATCATCGTGACAAGACCAGGAACTAGCGATAATAGGCATGGTAGCCTAGTCGAGTGTTATCACCGATCACCACGAGTGCTCATCAACATGATATGGGCCAGAGCAAGTCTAGGAAAAGTAGTACGGCAAATTCTGCGAAAGTGTGCATGGATGCCGTGGCAGAGATTAAGGTGCCTAACTGCGACCTTGTCAGATGCTAGTAGCAAGTCCTGCCTCAGACCCGAAACCTGCGAATGTACTGAGGAAGAAAGCGAGGGAAAGTCGCTGGGGGTTTCGGCCGGATGCCCAAAGTGCTCTGGCAGAATTTGACCTCCAGTGCTCCTGCTTTCTCAACGAGCTAACTAGTAGCTTCAAGTGCGGCCCAATAGCCGTGTCCGTCGCTTCGCATGCTTCCTTCGCATATGGCTCAGTCACACCGGCAGCGCTCGACCAGTAGCTGCGTCATGGCGGCCGTGCAAGTGGTGCAGTTGCCGCCGGCGTTCTGGGGCGAACAAGCAGTGTACGGGCCTCACTACCGTGGGGCCTGGCACCGCCGCCGGATTGGTGGGCACAGGCTGCCCAAGCCTGCGCCCTGAGCCAGTATCAAGTTGCAGCGCTGCAACAGCTGTTCCAGCCTTGCCGCTGGCAAACGGTCAATGGGTTCAGTTACCAGCCCGTTCAACCTCAAGCGCCAATGATTCATTGGCGCTTGAGGTTGCACGGGCAATGATGCAGATGGCAACTCCTCATTACACATCCCCTGCACCCAAATCAAACTTACCCGCAAGCACTCCATCCAGCACCAGCACTCCATCCAGCACCTGCGGCAAGCATCCCAACGTCGGCCCCCACCCAAGAGCCCAGCGCAACCTTCCTGGGCGGACTTGTCGGAGGATCTAACTCCACCGAGCCTGAACGAGGAGTTGCCAACCTTGCTCCCCAAGCCTAGCAAGGGCAACGGGAAGGGAAAGGGAAAGACTGCCAAGAAGTCCTCCAAAGGAACGGGCAAAGGCAGAAACGGGGGCAAGTGGCACGGAGACTACTCCGACTATTCCTGGAGCCACCACGGATGCCGCTACTGCGGCTGGCACTGAGTTTACCTGCGATGGTAGGAGAGTGTCACCGGTACCTGCAACTGTTCAGAAGGCTGGTAGGGCACGGCGGCATGACTAAGTCAGCTGCCTGTCGGCAAGAGACGAGGGGCGACAAAGCCTCCCCCGAGCTCAACGGATGTTTCCTCGAACGACGAATCACTTGCCTGCCCAGAAGCGCAACGCACAAAAGCAGACACTTGGATTGCATTGTAGGGTAGTTTGGGATCGCTTGAAGCTTACGTCGTGCATCACACGGACGACACTGGCAGAGGCCCGATGAACGACCTGACGTTGGGTCAGGGTGGCGTGGGGCTCAGCCAGAGCCAGGAATGTTGAAGAAGAGCAGCTTGCAAATAGTAAATAGCGAGAGCAGAGGTGCCGCAGGATAGATGTTGGCAGTCATTGCTCGGTGGGTCTTCTGTGAAAGAGCTGTTTCCGATAGCGTCTTGCTGTTGGTTGGAAGGTTGTTTTCAGGGTTCTTTTCCTCCGCGGGTGGACTTGACTTGATGGTTGCAGATGTAGCTGCTGGTAGACTTCGGCAAACCGCAGGAAGAATCGCGTTAAACGAGCAAGTGAGTCGTGTAGGTCTGGCTCAGAACCGGCCAGCCCATCCAGCTGCAGCGCGCCCGGATATTTTTCAGGAGGTCATTTGCGGTAGCCTTATTTCCAAACTTGATTGGCGATCATCGTGACAAGACCAGGAACTAGCGATACTAGGCATGGTAGCCTAGTCGAGTGTTATCACCGATCACCACGAGTGCTCATCAACATGATATGGGCCAGAGCAAGTCTAGGAAAAGTAGTACGGCAAATTCTGCGAAAGTGTGCATGGATGCCGTGGCAGAGATTAAGGTGCCTAACTGCGACCTTGTCAGATGCTAGTAGCAAGTCCTGCCTCAGACCCGAAACCTGCGAATGTACTGAGGAAGACAGCGAGAGAAAGTCGCTGGGGGTTTCGGCCGGATGCCCAAAGTGCTCTGGCAGAATTTGACCTCCAGTGCTCCTGCTTTCTCAACGAGCTAACTAGTAGCTTCAAGTGCGGCCCAATAGCCGTGTCCGTCGCTTCGCATGCTTCCTTCGCATATGGCTCAGTCACACCGGCAGCGCTCGACCAGTAGCTGCGTCATGGCGGCCGTGCAAGTGGTGCAGTTGCCGCCGGCGTTCTGGGGCGAACAAGCAGTGTACGGGCCTCACTACCGTGGGGCCTGGCACCGCCGCCGGATTGGTGGGCACAGGCTGCCCAAGCCTGCGCCCTGAGCCAGTATCAAGTTGCAGCGCTGCAACAGCTGTTCCAGCCTTGCCGCTGGCAAACGGTCAATGGGTTCAGTTACCAGCCCGTACAAGCTCAAGCGCCAATGATGCAGATGGCAACTCCTCATTACACATCCCCTGCACCCCCTACGCCTGGGCCTTCCGCTACACAGCAAGCTTACCCGCAAGCACTCCATCCAGCGCCAGCACTCCATCCAGCACCTGCGGCAAGCATCCCAACGTCGGCCCCCACGAGCTCACCCAAAAGCCCAGCGCAACCTTCCTGGGCGGACTTGTCGGAGGATCTAACTCCACCGAGCCTGAACGAGGAGTTGCCAACCTTGCTCCCCAAGCCGAGCAAGGGCAACGGGAAGGGAAACAAGGGAAAGGGAAAGACTGCCAAGAAGTCCTCCAAAGGAACGGGCAAAGGCAGAAACGGTGGCATGTGGCATGCCAACTACTCCGACTATTCCTGGAAATACCAGAGCTACCAGTACTGCGGCTGGTACTGAGTTCAACGCGATGGTAGGAGAGTATCACCCGTACCTGCAGCTGTTCAGCAGGCTGGTAGGGCATGACGGCATGACTAAGTCAGCTGCCTGTCGGCAAGAGACGAGGGGCGACAAAGCCTCCCCCGAGCTCAACGGATGTTTCCTCGAACGACGAATCACTTGCCTGCCCAGAAACGCAACGCACAAAAGCAGACACTTGGATTGCATTGTCGGGTAGTTTGGGATCGCTTGAAGCTTGCGTCGTGCATCACACGGACGACACTGGCAGAGGCCCGATGAACGACCTGACGTTGGGTCAGGGTGGCGTGGGGCTCAGCCAGAGCCAGGAATGTTGAAGAAGAGCAGCTTGCAAATAGTAAATAGCGAGAGCAGAGGTGCCGCAGGATAGATGTTGGCAGTCATTGCTCGGTGGGTCTTCTGTGAAAGAACTTCGGCAAACCGCAGGAAGAATCGCGTTAAACGAGCAAGTGAGTCGTGTAGGTCTGGCTCAGAACCGGCCAGCCCATCCAGCTGCAGCGCGCCCGGATGTTTTTCAGGAGGTCATTTGCGGTAGCCTTATTTCCAAACTTGATTGGCGATCTTCGTGACAAGACCAGGAACTAGCGATAATAGGCATGGTAGCCTAGTCGAGTGTTATCACCGATCACCACGAGTGCTCATCAACATGATATGGGCCAGAGCAACTGCTAATGCTGCGAAAGTGTGCATGGATGCCGTGGCAGAGATTAAGGTGCCTAACTGCGACCTTGTCAGATGCTAGTAGCAAGTCCTGCCTCAGACCCGAAACCTGCGAATGTACTGAGGAAGAAAGCGAGGGAAAGTCGCTGGGGGTTTCGGCCGGATGCCCAAAGTGCTGTGGCAGAATTTGACCTCCAGTGCTCCTGCTTTCTCAACGAGCTAACTAGTAGCTTCAAGTGCGGCCCAATAGCCGTGTCCGTCGCTTCGCATGCTTCCTTCGCATATGGCTCAGTCACACCGGCAGCGCTCGACCAGTAGCTGCGTCATGGCGGCCGTGCAAGTGGTGCAGTTGCCGCCGGCGTTCTGGGGCGAACAAGCAGTGTACGGGCCTCACTACCGTGGGGGCCTGGCACCGCCGCCGGATTGGTGGGCACATGCTGCCCAAGCCTGCGCCCTGAGCCAGTATCAAGTTGCAGCGCTGCAACAGCTGTTCCAGCCTTGCCGCTGGCAAACGGTCAATGGGTTCAGTTATCAGCCCGTTCAACCTCAAGCGCCAATGATTCATTGGCGCTTGAGGTTGAACGGGCAATGATGCAGATGGCAACTCCTCATTACACATCCCCTGCACCCCTCACGCCTGGGCCTTCCGCTACAAAGCAAACTTACCCGCAAGCACTCCATCCAGCACCAGCACTCCATCCAGCACCCGCGGCAAGCATCCCAACGTCGGCCCCCACGAGCTCACCCAAGAGCCCAGCGCAACCTTCTTGGGCGGACTTGTCGGAGGATCTAACTCCACCGAGCCTGAACGAGGAGTTGCCAACCTTGCTCCCCAAGCCTAGCAAGGGCAACGGGAAGGGAAAGGGAAAGACTGCCAAGAAGTCCTCCAAAGGAACGGGCAAAGGCAGAAACGGGGGTAAGTGGCACGGAGACTACTCCGACTATTCCTGGAGCCACCACGGATACCGCCACTGCGGCTGGCACTGAGTTTACCCGCGATGGTAGGAGAGTGTCACCGGTACCTGCAGCTGTTCAGCAGGCTGGTAGGGCATGACGGCATGACTAAGTCAGCTGCCTGTCGGCAAGAGACGAGGGGCGACAAAGCCTCCCCCGAGCTCAACGGATGTTTCCTCGAACGACGAATCACTTGCCTGCCCAGAAACGCAACGCACAAAAGCAGACACTTGGATTGCATTGTCGGGTAGTTTGGGATCGCTTGAAGCTTACGTCGTGCATCACACGGACGACACTGGCAGAGGCCCGATGAACGACCTGACGTTGGGTCATGGTGGCGTGGGGCTCAGCCAGAGCCAGGAATGTTGAAGAAGAGCAACTTGCAAATAGTAAATAGCGAGAGCAGAGGTGCCGCAGGATAGATGTTGGCAGTCATTGCTCGGTGGGTCTTCTGTGAAAGAGCTGTTTCCGATAGCGTCTTGCTGTTGGTTGGAAGGTTGTTTTCAGGGTTCTTTTCCGCCGCGGGTGGACTTGACTTGATGGTTGCAGATGTAGCTGCTGGTGGACTTCGGAAAACCGGGGGAAGAATCGCGTTAAACGAGCAAGTGAGTCGTGTAGGTCTGGCTCAGAACCGGCCAGCCCATCCAGCTGCAGCGGGCCCGGATATTGTTCAGAAGGTCATTTGCGGTAGCCTTATTTCCAAACTTGATTTGCGATCATCGTGACAAGACCAGGAACTAGCGATAATAGGCATGGTAGCCTAGTCGAGTGTTATCACCGATCACCACGAGTGCTCATCAACATGAGATGGGCCAGAGCAAGTGTAGGAAAAGTAGTACTGCTAATTCTGCGAAAGTGTGCATGGATGCCGTGGTAGAGATTAAGGTGCCTCACTGCGACCTTGTCAGATGCTAGTAGCAAGTCCTGCCTCAGACCCGAAACCTGCGAATGTACTGAGGAAGAAAGCGAGGGAAAGTCGCTGGGGTTTCGGCCGGATGCCCAAAGTGCTCTGGCAGAACTTGACCTCCAGTGCTCCTGCTTTCTCAACGAGCTAACTAGTAGCCTCAAGTGCGGCCCAATAGCCGTGTCCGTCGCTTCGCATGCTTCCTTCGCATATGGCTCAGTCACACCGGCAGTGCTCAACCACTAGCTGCGTCATGGCGGCCGTGCAAGTGGTGCAGTTGCCGCCGGCGTTCTGGGGCGAACAAGCAGTGTACGGGCCTCACTACCGTGGGGGCCTGGCACCGCCGCCGGATTGGTGGGCACAGGCTGCCCAAGCCTGCGCCCTGAGCCAGTATCAAGTTGCAGCGCTGCAACAGCTGTTCCAGCCTTGCCGCTGGCAGACGGTGAATGGCTTTAGCTACCAGCCCATTCAAGCTCAAGCGCCAATGATGCAGATGGCAACTCCTCATTACACATCCCCTGCACCCCCCACTCCTGGGCCTTCCCCTACACAGCAAGCTTACCCGCAAGCACTCCATCCAGCACCAGCGGCAAGCATCCCAACGTCGGCCCCCACGAGCTCACCCAAGAGCCCAGCGCAACCTTCCTGGGCGGACTTGTCGGAGGATCTAACTCCACCGAGCCTGAACGAGGAGTTGCCAACCTTGCTCCCCAAGCCGAGCAAGGGCAACGGGAAGGGAAACAAGGGAAAGGGAAAGACTGCCAAGAAGTCCTCCAAAGGAACGGGCAAAGGCAGAAACGGTGGCAAGTGGCACGGAGACTACGACTATTCCTGGAGCTACCACGGCTATCACTACTGCGGCTGGTACTGAGTTTACCCGCGATGGTAGGAGAGTGTCACCCGTACCTGCGACTGTTCAGCAGGCTGGTAGGGCATGACTAAGTCAGCCGCCCGTCGACGAGAGACGAGGGGCGACAAAGCCTCCCCCGAGCGCAATGGTTTCCCAATATGTATCCGCCTGGAGCCTGGAACGACGAACCACTCGTCTGCCCAGCAGTGCAACAAAACAGACATCTGGATTGCATTGTAGTGTAGTTTGAGCTCACTTGATGCTTACGTCGTGCATCACTCGGACGACACTGGCAGAGGCTGATGAACGATCCGACGAGGTGGCATGGGGCTCAGCCAGCGCAAGGAATGTTGAAGAAGAGCAACTATCAAATAGTAAATAGCGACAGCTGTAAGAGTCCTTCGAGGGAGCACATCATCCGGATATCTCTGCAGTTTGTTGTTTTCAGCTCTTTCCCGGCATTGACTGGCTGGCCGGCATAGCAGTTTCAGGCACAGGCAGGTCTTGTGTGGAAGCTCACCAGATGGCAGAATCCCGGCATCCAGCAAGTGAGTTGAACTGTAGCTGCCTGAGGAAACTCGCGCTGGAGACGGAAAGTCGCTGAGGGTTTTCGCCGGATGCCCAAAGTGCTCCGGCAGAATTGTGCTTCGAGCAATTGCAGTTGTCATGTGCGAACCCAGTCACTAGCCCCTGCTTTCTCAATGCAGGCATCAAGTGCAGCCCGAAGGCTGTGTCCGTCGCTTCGCATGCTTCCTTCGCATATGGCTCAGTCACACCGGCAGTGCTCAACCACTATAGCTGCGTCATGGCGGCCGTGCAAGTGGTGCAGTTGCCGCCGGCGTTCTGGGGCGAACAAGCGGTGTACGGGCCTCACTACCGTGGGGGCCTGGCACCGCCGCCGGATTGGTGGGCACAGGCTGCCCAAGCCTGCGCCCTGAGCCAGTATCAAGTTGCAGCGCTGCAACAGCTGTTCCAGCCTTGCCGCTGGCAGACGGTGAATGGCTTTAGCTACCAGCCCATTCAAGCTCAAGCGCCAATGATGCAGATGGCAACTCCTCATTACACATCCCCTGCACCCCCCACGCCTGCGCCTTCCCCTACACAGCAAGCTTACCCGCAAGCACTCCATCCAGCACCAGCGGCAAGCATCCCAACGTCGGCCCCCACGAGCTCACCCAAGAGCCCAGCGCAACCTTCCTGGGCGGACTTGTCGGAGGATCTAACTCCACCGAGGCTGAACGAGGAGTTGCCAAACTTGCTCCGCAAGCCTAGCAAGGGCAACGGGAAGGGAAAGGGAAAGACTGCCAAGAAGTCCTCCAAAGGAACGGGCAAAGGCAGAAACGGTGGCAAGTGGCAAGGAGACTACTCCAACTATTCCTGGAGCTACGTGGGCCACCACTACTGCGGCTGGTACTGAGTTTACCCGCGATGGTAGGAGAGTGTCACCCGTACCTGCGACTGTTCAGCAGGCTGGTAGGGCATGTCTAAGTCAGCTGCCCGTCGACGAGAGACGAGGGGCGACAAAGCCTCCCCCCGAGCGCAAAGGTTTCCCAATATGTATCCGCCTGGAACGACGAACCACTCGTCTGCCCAGCAGTGCAACAAAACAGACATCTGGATTGCATTGTAGTGTAGTTTGAGCTCACTTGATGCTTACGTCGTGCATCACTCGGACGACACTGGCAGAGGCCTGATGAACGATCCGACGAGGTGGCATGGGGCTCAGCCAGCGCAAGGAATGTTGAAGAAGAGCAACTATCAAATAGTAAATAGCGACAGCAGGAGGCAGGAAAGACGTGGCAGACGACTGTAAGAGTCCTTCGAGGGAGCACATCATCCGGATATCTCTGCAGTTTGTTGTTTTCAGCTCTTTCCCGGCATTGACTGGCTGGGTGGCCGGCATAGCAGTTTCAGGCACAGGCAAGTCTTGTGTGGAAGCTCACCTGATGGCAGAATCCCGGCATCCAGCAAGTGAGTTGAACTGTAGCTGCCTGAGGAAACTCGCGATGGAGACGGAAAGTCGCTGAGGGTTTTCGCCGGATGCCCAAAGTGCTCCGGCAGAATTGTGCTTCGAGCAATTGCAGTTGTCATGTGCTAACCCAGTCACTAGCCCCTGCTTTCTCAATGCAGGCATCAAGTGCAGCCCGAAGGCTGTGTCCGTCGCTTCGCATGCTTCCTTCGCATATGGCTCAGTCACACCGGCAGTGCTCAACCACTATAGCTGCGTCATGGCGGCCGTGCAAGTGGTGCAGTTGCCGCCGGCGTTCTGGGGCGAACAAGCGGTGTACGGGCCTCACTACCGTGGGGGCCTGGCACCGCCGCCGGATTGGCGGGCACAGGCTGCCCAAGCCTGCGCCCTGAGCCAGTATCAAGTTGCAGCGCTGCAACAGCTGTTCCAGCCTTGCCGCTGGCAGACATTCAACGGGTTTAGTTACCAGCCCATTCAACCTACACCGCCAATGATGCAGATGGCAACTCCTCATTACACATCCCCTGCACCCCCCACGCCTGCGCCTTCCCCTACACAGCAAGCTTACCCGCAAGCACTCCATCCAGCACCAGCGGCAAGCATCCCAACGTCGGCCCCCACGAGCTCACCCAAGAGCTCAGCGCAACCTTCCTGGGCGGACTTGTCGGAGGATCTAACTCCACCGAGCCTGAAAGAGGAGTTGCCAAACTTGCTCCCCAAGCCTAGCAAGGGCAACGGGAAGGGAAAGGGAAAGACTGCCAAGAAGTCCGGCAAAGGCAGAAACGGTGGCAAGTGGCAAGGATACTACTCCAACTATTCCTGGAGCTACGTGGGCCACCAATGCCACCACTACTGCGGCTGGTACTGAGTTTACCCGCGATGGTAGGAGAGTGTCACCCGTACCTGCGACTGTTCAGCAGGCTGGTAGGGCATGTCTAAGTCAGCTGCCCGTCGACGAGAGGCGAGGGACGACAAAGCCTCCCCCGAGCGCAAAGGTTTCCCAATATGTATCCGCCTGGAACGACGAACCACTCGTCTGCCCAGCAGCGTAACAAAACAGACACTTGGATTGCATTGTAGTGTAGTTTGAGCTCACTTGATGCTTACGTCGTGCATCACTCGGACGACACTGGCAGAGGCTGATGAACGATCCGACGAGGTGGCGTGGGGCTCAGCCAGTGCAAGGAATGTTGAAGAAGAGCAACTATCAAATAGTAAATAGCGACAGCAGGAGGCAGGAAAGAAGTGGCAGACGACTGTAAGAGTCCTTCGAGGGAGCACATCATCCGGATATCTCTGCAGTTTGTTGTTTTCAGCTCTTTCCCGGCATTGACTGACTGGCCGGCATATCAGTTTCAGGCACAGGCAGGTCTTGTGTGGAAGCTCACCTGATGGCAGAATCCCGGCATCCAGCAAGTGAGTTGAACTGTAGCTGCCTGAGGAAACTCGCGCTGGAGACGGAAAGTTGCTAAGGGTTTTCGCCGGATGCCCAAAGTGCTCCGGCAGAATTGTGCTTCGAGCAATTGCAGTTGTCATGTGCGAACCCAGTCACTAGCCCCTGCTTTCTCAATGCAGGCATCAAGTGCAGCCCGAAGGCTGTGTCCGTCGCTTCCCATGCTTCCTTCGCATATGGCTCAGTCACACCGGCAGTGCTCAACCACTAGCCGCGTCATGGCGGCCGTGCAAGTGGTGCAGTTGCCGCCGGCGTTCTGGGGCGAACAAGCGGTGTACGGGCCTCACTACCGTGGGGGCCTGGCACCGCCGCCGGATTGGTGGGCACAGGCTGCCCAAGCCTGCGCCCTGAGCCAGTATCAAGTTGCAGCGCTGCAACAGCTGTTCCAGCCTTGCCGCTGGCAGACGGTGAATGGCTTTAGCTACCAGCCCATTCAAGCTCAAGCGCCAATGATGCAGATGGCAACTCCTCATTACACATCCCCTGCACCCCCCACGCCTGCGCCTTCCCCTACACAGCAAGCTTACCCGCAAGCACTCCATCCAGCACCAGCGGCAAGCATCCCAACGTCGGCCCCCACGAGCTCACCCAAGAGCCCAGCGCAACCTTCCTGGGCGGACTTGTCGGAGGATCTAACTCCACCGAGGCTGAACGAGGAGTTGCCAAACTTGCTCCCCAAGCCTAGCAAGGGCAACGGGAAGGGAAAGGGAAAGACTGCCAAGAAGTCCTCCAAAGGAACGGGCAAAGGCAGAAACGGGGGCAAGTGGCAAGGAGACTACTCCAACTATTCCTGGAGCTACGTGGGCCACCACTACTGCGGCTGGTACTGAGTTTACCCGCGATGGTAGGAGAGTGTCACCCTACCTGCGACTGTTCAGCAGGCTGGTAGGGCATGACTAAGTCAGCTGCCCGACGAGGAGAGACGAGGGGCGACAAAGCCTCCCCCAGAGCGGAACGGTTTCGTCAAGTTTCCTCGAACGAAGAACTTGTCTGCACAGAAAAGCAGACACTGGCCTTGCACTGTAGGGTAGGCTGACCTCGCTTGATGCTTACTTCGTGCATCACACCGACGACACTGGCAGAGGCCAAATGAACGACTTGACGGTGGGTCAAGGTGGCGGGGAGCTCAGCTAGAGCCACGAATGTTGAAGAAGAGCAACCTGCAAATAGACGGATCAGGAGGTGTTGCAGCGTCGCAGAGACTGAAATATCTCAGGGGTACGAAAGGTGCTTTGAGAGCGGCATCCATGTGGCATCCGTCGCAAGAAATCTTCGCAGTTTTGAGACACTTTCCAGACATAGACTGCCCGGCAAGGCAGCTTTTGCCGGCTTTTGTGTGGAAGCTCACCTGTCGCAAACTCTCCTGTCACCTGTGTGTTTTTTGGTCAGGCCCCGCAGTTCCTGGGTCAGTGGAGCTCCGCCCTCAAATTGCCGTTGTGATACGAAACGGCAGAATCCGCACAGACTCCGAGCCTATGTGGTTCCAGCCAAAGCACGGTGTTGGCTTCTTGGTCAACCGCCGAATCTAGAATCCAGCTGAAGTGCAGCGTTGAACGCTCAATTCTCTGACTACGTCCTTCTGCATCGCACGACATGGTCTTCGGAAGTAGCACACGATGTCGTGGGAAATCGCATCTCGCAAGCCGCCCCGAGACGGTGGCAGGAAAGATGTCGGCTTGGGCGGTGCCTCGGAAGCTTCGCAGGGCTCTCAGATGGTCATTGCTCGGTGGGTCTTCCCTGGCAGCCTTGATGGTGGAACATGCTGCTAGTAGACCTTGCATTTGGAAAACAGCAGGAGCCCGCAGGCGATTGTTACGGAGATCGCCTGAAAAGATAGGGCTGGTATTGCATCTCGCGAGCCTAATTACTAACAATTGCATCACCGATAGCGATACCTTTTCCCAGAGATGCCATGAGCATAATATGGGTCAGAGTCCTTGCTGCAGCAAGAGCACTGCTAGGTGGAGACCCATCGAGAAAGCAAGAATCTGTTGTAGCGAAAGCAGACCGGCAATGATTTATCTGAAGAACAGCAGCAGTCGATCATGGCAAGCTAGGACGCAATGGTAAGACAAGTCAGCTTCGATGCCCGCAACACCCACTCAATACCCGTTGTGGCAGGTTTCATCATTATAGCTTTCATTGCGTGCTACATCCTGACAGGGATACGCTTATCCAATCATGTTCCGTGTCCCGTGCATAGACATCCCCTCGTTTCCGGCTGCCGGTTTCAATTAATTAAGCTGCTTGAGTGAATTCCGACGGCACGTGAACTCTCTCCTGTAGCAATGAATTGAACGGTTCGTCTCGCACATCCACCGGTGCAATAATGAAGATACGAACGGTGATGAACGTGTGCGTGGATGCAGCAGTCTGGTGCCAGCTGCGACCCTTTGAGATGCGTGTGGCTGCAAGGACCTGTGCGATAGCTTTGAGGTGGCAGCAAGTGCCTTGGCCCCGAAGGTTCATGCATCATGCACATGTGTTAGTTCTTAGAATCACACCAGTCGACTGGAGACCCGCAGGCAGGCAATACTGTCACCCACAGAAGGTATCACCAGTCACTGTGTCAGTTCTTGGTGCACGCACCCGCATGTGCATGCGGAACCGTGACTTCAGTGGTCAAATCCGCAAGGTTGCTGCATCCAGCATCAAGATGTCAGCAAGTAAGGTGAACTGCAGCGGATTCAGTCAAGTCGAGCTGCAGACGGAAAGTAGTTGGGGGCTTCCACCGGACGCCCAAAGTGCAATGGCTCAATTTGGCTTCGAGCAATTGACAACGCCAGTCGCTAGCTCCTGCTTTCTCAATGCAAAGCATCAGGTGCAGCTCCGTCGCTTCACATGCTTCCTTCGCTTTTGGCTCAGTCATCCGGCTTGCGCTTGAACGGGCTGGTAACTGAACCCGTTGACCGTCTGCCAGTCAGCCTTGCCACTGGCAGACGGTCAACGGGTTCAGTTACCAGCCCGTTCAAGCTCAAGCGCCAATAACTCCTCATTACACACCCCTTCCCCTAGACAGCAAGCTTACCCACAAGCACTCCACCGAGCACCAGCGGCAAGCATCCCAACGTCGGCCCCCGCGAGCTCACCCAAGAGCCCAGCGCAACCTTCGTGGGCGGACTTGTCGGAGGATCTAACTCCGCCGAGCTTGAACGAGGAGTTGCCAACTCTGCTCCCCAAGCCCAGCAAGGGCAACGGTAAGACTGCAAAGGGAAAGACTGGCAAGAAGTCCTCCAAAGGAACGGGCAAAGGCAGAAATGGTGGCAATTGGCATGCAGAGTACTCCGACTATTACTGCGGCTGTTCTGAGTTTAGTCGCGATGGTAGGAGAGTGTCACCCGTACCTGCAACTGTTCAGCAGGCCGGTAGGGCATGGCGTCATGACCAAGTCATTTGTCTGTGGGCGAGAGAGACGAGGGGCGACAAAACTACTCCGACTACTCCTGGAACTACCAGAGCTACCAGTACCGTGGCTGGTACTGAGTTTAAACGTGATGGTAGGAGAGTGTCACCCGTACCTGCAACTAACTGTTCAGCAGGCTGGTAGGGCATGGCTGCATGACTAAGTCATCTGCCTGTCGGCGAGAGACGCGGGGCGACAAAGCCTCCCCCGAGCGGAATGGTTGAAACACTTGTCTTCCCAGACGGAAACAGCAGACGCCTGTGTGGCTTGCTTTGTGCATCACACTGACGATTTGCAGAGGCCCGATGCTCCCCCGATTGCCTTGGTGACAGACTCTGCCCTGACGGTGGGCCAAGCTGGCGTGGAACTCAGCTTCTGAAGCCACCGTCCTACGACGCTAGTTGCCTTCAGGTCCCCTCCCGCAGCTGCCCGCAACGGCGCAGGCTCTGTACCTCGGCGAAGGGTGTGGGCACAGCCTTTGCTCTTGAGAAGGCAGTGCTTCTCAGACTGCCTGACGCACGGACTGCTGCGCGTGCCTGGGACCTGGCGATAGAGTGCAAAAGACCAGCGTACCCATGCTAATCTTGTATGCAGCTATGCAGGTCAAGCAAGCAGACCCTGCTGTTATATTGGTGGATGTTCCGTCAGAGGCCACTTCGCTTTGTTCTGCGGTCCGAGTCGGATGTTATGTCAGCTCTTGCAGGTTGCCGTGGTGCCCACGATTTGCAGAGCGGCTTTAGGCCGCTTCAGATCTGCTACCGCCCCAAAGAGATGGAGGCGCGGTGTCTGCTGTGGCGCATGACACGGCGAGGCCGCTCAAGGGGGTTTGGCAGCCATTGTGGCCGAGAGGAAGGTGGGGACTCCGGAAGCAAAGATGCAAAAAGGCTGCCAAGAACAGTCGGTGAAAGGCTGTGAACGTTGCCGAGCTCTTGCGTGCACCTGAAGTCGAAGAATCCTTCAGTTCCGTGCTCGGCCTTCGCCGGGCATCAAAATACCATTGTTCCATACCGCGAGGTCTCGGTGCTGGAAGCTGGTTTCCCATGGCACGCCGGTGCACTCGGCACGATCAGCTGCAAGAGCAACTGCACGAACGGTGTTAACTGCAACGGGGATTCTCTGATTTCAATTTCACCCAGTCTGCAAGATGGAGTCTCTTGGTAGGGTGACAGGTCATGACAGGTCATTCGGAAATCACAAGCGTGCTTTAATTGCAATCAATCATGCGCGCGGCTTCTCAGCTGAAGCCAGCACAGTCAGTAGACACAGATGTTCCGACAAGGCGATTTGTGTCATGGTCCGACGTATTCCAAGATGCAGAAGCTAACCTGGTTGTATTTGTCCGATCCCGCCATTCGTACGCCTCTGCCGCCTTTTAGTCTGGGTTTCGTCCCGGTCGGAAGAGTAAGATGTTGTTGCGCTTTCCAACCATTTGCCTGCTGAGTCAGCACTACTGTCATTACTACAGCGTTGACGAGGGGCTGCCAGTATCTCGTATTGCTTCGGCTGCTTCCTGACTTCTGTCCGGATCACATGGATCATCCCGTAGTAGGTATTACCAGCCAGAACCGCTCAAACCCATGCCTGAAACCCTCAAGCCGAACGTCCGAAGCTCGGTTTCGAAGTTGTTGGTCTCAACAGTGGCTCCACAACTCTTGATTATCAGTAGGAGTATGTGTATTTTTCTTGCTTCGTCTGCTGATTCTTCTTAGTCTTCTTGGAGAGACCTCAAAGCCTAAACCCAACAAAGCAACCCTGAACCGCTGAAGCCCGAACTCCTTCGGACCCAGGCCTGGCAACTCGCAGGACTTCACGGAACTCAGGCACTCTCAGCGGGGGGTCTCGGGTTCAAGTTGACGGATGTGGTTTTGTACGTAGGGTTTTGGGTTTGTCGGGCTTTGGGGCTTCCACTTTCAGGGCTGCGGATGAGGGCAATCGGGCTTGTCGAGTTCAGAGGTGTACTCTTGATAGATTGGAAGTGAAGGTGGGTTGAATTGTCTTGATTCTGCGGCAGTTGGAGAGTCTCCAATTCCGCACCAGTTGATCATGCAGTACTGCAGCTGCTTTCGCATCACCGAAGCATGTCGATTTCAATTTCAATAGCACATCACTCCCATTGCTTCTCATGTATCCTTCGCGTTTGGCTCAGTCACACCGGCAGTGCTCAACCACTAGCTGCGTCATGGCGGCCGTGCAAGTGGTGCAGTTGGCGCCGGCGTTCTGGGGCGAACAAGCCTTGTACGGGCCTCACTACCGTGGGGGCCTGGCACCGCCGCCGGATTGGTGGGCACAGGCTGCCCAAGCCTGCGCCCTGAGCCAGTATCAAGTTGCAGCGCTGCAACAGCTGTTCCAGCCTTGCCGCTGGCAGACATTCAACGGGTTTAGTTACCAGCCCATTCAACCTACACCGCCAATGATGCAGATGGCAACTCCTCATTACACATCCCCTGCACCCCCCACGCCTGCGCCTTCCCCTACACAGCAAGCTTACCCGCAAGCACTCCATCCAGCACCAGCGGCAAGCATCCCAACGTCGGCCCCCACGAGCTCACCCAAGAGCCCAGCGCAACCTTCCTGGGCGGACTTGTCGGAGGATCTAGCTCCACCGAGCCTGAACGAGGAGTTGCCAACCTTGCTCCCCAAGCCTAGCAAGGGCAACGGGAAGGGAAAGGGAAAGACTGCCAAGAAGTCCTCCAAAGGAACGGGCAAAGGCAGAAGCGGTGGCAAGTGGCACGGAGACTACTCCGACTGTTCCTGGAGGTACCAGAGCTACCACTACTGCGGCTGGTACTGAGTTTACCCGCGATGGTACAAGAGTGTCACCCGTACCTGCGACTGTTCAGCAGGCTGGTAGCATGACTAAGTCAGCTGCCCGACGACGAGAGACGAGGGGCGACAAAGCCTCCCCCCGAGCAGAACGGTTTCGTCAAGTTTCCTCGAACGAAGAACTTGTCTGCACAGAAAAGCAGACACCGGCATTGCACTGTAGGGTAGGCTAACCTCGCTTGATGCTTACTTCGTGCATCACACCGACGACACTGGCAGAGGCCAAATGACAAATGACGACCTGACGGTGGGTCAAGGTGGCGGGGAGCTCAGCTAGAGCCACGAATGTTGAAGAAGAGCAACCTGCAAATAGACGGAGCAGGAGGTGTTGCAGCATCGCAGAGACTGAAATATCTCAGGAGTACGAAAGGTGTTTTGAGAGCGGCATCCATGTGGCATCCGTCGCAAGAAATCTTCGCAGTTTTGAGACACTTTCCAGACATAGACCGGCCGGCAAGGCAGCTTTTGCCGGCTTTTGTGTGGAAGCTCACCTGTCGCAAACTCTCCTGTCACCTGTGTGTTTTTTGGTCAGGCCCCGCAGTTCCTGGGTCAGTGGAGCTCCGCCCTCAAATTGCTGTTGTGATACGAAACGGCAGAATCCGCACAGACTCCGAGCCTATGTGGTTCCAGCCAAAGCACGGTGTTCTCTTCTTGGTCAACCGCCGAATCTAGAATCCAGCTGAAGTGCAGCGTTGAACGCTCAATTCTCTGACTACGTCCTTCTGCATCGCACGACATGGTCTTCGGAAGTAGCACACGATGTCGTGGGAAATCGCATCTCGCAAGCCGCCCCGAGACGGTGGCAGGAAAGATGTCGGCTTGGGCGGTGCCTCGGAAGCTTCGCAGGGCTCTCAGATGGTCATTGCTCGGTGGGTCTTCCCTGGCAGCCTTGATGGTGGAACATGCTGCTAGTAGACCTTGCATTTGGAAAACAGCAGGAGCCCACAGGCGATTGTTACAGAGATCGCCTGAAAAGAAGTGCGTGCCGTAGGCCTTGCGCAGAACGAGTCAGCCCAACCAGCTGCATTAGGAGAGCAATGATACTAGTGGTGTCACTATTGAAAACATTCGTTCAAAAATGAAGCAAAATAGTTAAGGCTGGTATTGCATCTCGCGAGCCTGAATACTAACAATTGCATCACCGATAGCGATACCTTTTCCCAGAATGCCATGAGCATTATATGGATCAGAGTCCTTGCTGCAGCAAGAGCACTGCTAGGTGGAAGCTCATCGGGAAAGCAAGAACCTGTTGTAGCGAAAGCAGACTGGCAATGATTTATCTGAAGAACAGCAGCAGTCGATCATGGCAAGATAGGACGCAATGGTAAGACAAGTCAGCTTCGATGCCCGCAACACCCACGCAATACCCGTTGTGGCAGGTTTCATCATTATAGCTTTCATCGTGTGCTACATCCTGACAGGGATACGCTTTGCCAGTCATGTTCCGTGTCTCGTGCATAGACATCCCCTCCTTTCCGGCTGCCGGTTTCAATTAATTAAGCTGCTTGGGTAAATTCCGACGGCACGTGAACTCTCTCCTGTAGCAATTGCAATTGAATGGTTCGTCTCGAACATCCACCGGTGCAATAATGAAGATACGAACGGTGATGAACGTGTGATGCAGCAGTCTGGTGCCAGCTGCGACCCTTTGAGATGTGTGTGGCTGCAAGGACCTGCGCGATAGCTTTGATTTGGCAGCAAGTGCCTTGGCCCCGAAGGTTCATGCATCATGCACATGTGTTAGTTCTCAGAATCACGCCAGTCGACTGGAGACCCGCAGGCAGGCAATACTGTCACCCACAGAAGGTATCACCAGTCACTGTGTCAGTTCTTGGTGCACGCACCCGCATGTGCATGCGGAACCGTGACTTCAGTGGTCAAATCCGCAAGGTTGCTGCATCCAGCATCAAGATGTCAGCAAGTAAGGTGAACTGCAGCGGATTCAGTCAAGTCGAGCTGCAGACGGAAAGTAGTTGGGGGCTTCCACCGGACGCCCAAAGTGCAATGGCTCAATTTGGCTTCGAGCAATTGACAACGCCAGTCGCTAGCTCCTGCTTTCTCAATGCAAAGCATCAGGTGCAGCCCCGTCGCTTCACATGCTTCCTTCGCTTTTGGCTCAGTCGTCCGGCTTGCGCTTGAACGGGCTGGTAACTGAACCCGTTGACCGTCTGCCAGTCAGCCTTGCCACTGGCAGACGGTCAACGGGTTCAGTTACCAGCCCGTTCAAGCTCAAGCGCCAATGATGCAGATGGCAACTCCTCATTACACACCCCTTCCCCTAGACAGCAAGCTTACCCACAAGCACTCCACCGAGCACCAGCGGCAAGCATCCCAACGTCGGCCCCTGCGAGCTCACCCAAGAGCCCAGCGCAACCTTCGTGGGCGGACTTGTCGGAGGATCTAACTCCGCCGAGCTTGAACGAGGAGTTGCCAACTCTGCTCCCCAAGCCCAGCAAGGGCAACGGTAAGACTGCAAAGGGAAAGACTGGCAAGGGCAAGAAGTCCTCCAAAGGAACGGGCAAAGGCAGAAATGGTGGCAAGTGGCATGCAGAGTACTCCGACTATTACTGCGGCTGGTACTGAGTTTAGTCGCGATGGTAGGAGAGTGTCACCCGTACCTGCAACTGTTCAGCAGGCCGGTAGGGCATGGCGTCATGACCAAGTCATCTGTCTGTGGGCGAGAGAGACGAGGGGCGACAAAACTACTTCGACTACTCCTGGAACTACCAGAGCTACCAGTACCGTGGCTGGTACTGAGTTTAAACGTGATGGTAGGAGAGTGTCACCCGTACCTGCAACTAACTGTTCAGCAGGCTGGTAGGGCATGGCTGCATGACTAAGTCATCTGCCTGTCGGCGAGAGACGCGGGGCGACAAAGCCTCCCCCGAGCGGAATGGTTGAAACACTTGTCTTCCCAGACGGAAACAGCAGACGCCTGTGTGGCTTGCTTTGTGCATCACACTGACGATTTGCAGAGGCCCGATGCTCCCCCGATTGCCTTGGTGACAGACTCTGCCCTGACGGTGGGCCAAGCTGGCGTGGAACTCAGCTTCTGAAGCCACCGTCCTACGACGCTAGTTGCCTTCAGGTTGCTTCCCGCAGCTGCCCGCAACGGCGCAGGCTCTGTACCTCGGCGAAGGGTGTGGGCACAGCCTTTGCTCTTGAGAAGGCAGTGCTTCTCAGACTGCCTGACGCACGGACTGCTGCGCGTGCCTGGGACCTGGCGAATAGAGTGCAAAAGACCAGCGTACCCATGCTAATCTTGTATGCAGCTATGCAGGTCAAGCAAGCAGACCCTGCTGTTATATTGGTGGATGTTCCGTCACAGGCCACTTCGCTTTGTTCTGCGGTCCGAGTCGGATGTTATGTCAGCTCTTGCAGGTTGCCGTGGTGCCCACGATCTGCAGAGCGGCTTTAGGCCGCTTCAGATCTGCTACCGCCCCAAAGAGATGGAGGCGCGGTGTCTGCTGTGGCGCATGACACGGCGAGGCCGCTCAAGGGGGTTTGGCAGCCATTGTGGCCGAGAGGAAGGTGGGGACTCCGGAAGCAAAGATGCAAAAAGGCTGCCAAGAACAGTCGGTGAAAGGCTGTGAACGTTGCCGAGCTCTTGCGTGCACCTGAAATCGAAGAATCCTTCAGTTCCGTGCTCGGCCTTCGCCGGGCATCAAAATACCATTGTTCCATACCGCGAGGTCTCGGCGCTGGAAGCTGGTTTCCCACGCAGGTGCACTCGGCACGATCAGCTGCAAGAGCAACTGCACGAACGGTGTCAACTGCAACGGGGATTCTCTGATTTCAATTTCACCCAGTCTGCAAGATGGAGTCTCTTGGTAGGGTGACAGGTCATGACAGGTCATTCGGAAATCACAAGCGTGCTTTGATTGCAATCAATCATGCGCGCGGCTTCTCAGCTGAAGCCAGCACAGTCAGTAGACACAGATGTTCCGAAAAGGCGATTTGTGTCATGGTCCGACGTATTCCAAGATGCAGAAGCTAACCTGGTTGTATTTGTCCGATCCCGCCATTCGTACGCCTCTGCCGCCTTTTAGTCTGGGTTTCGTCCCGGTCGGAAGAGTAAGATGTTGTTGCGCTTTCCAAGCCATTTGCCTGCTGAGTCAGCACTACTGTCATTACTACAGCGTTGACGAGGGGCTGCCAGTATCTCGTATTGCTTCGGCTGCTTCCTGACTTCTGTCCGGATCACATGGATCATCCCGTAGTAGGTATTACCAGCCAGAACCGCTCAAACCCATGCCTGAAACCCTCAAGCCGAACGTCCGAAGCTCGGTTTCGAAGTTGTTGGTCTCAACAGTGGCTCCACAACTCTTGATTATCAGTAGGAGTATGTGTATTTTTCTTGCTTCGTCTGCTGATTCTTCTTAGTCTTCTTGGAGAGACCTCAAAGCCTAAACCCAACAAAGCAACCCTGAACCGCTGAAGCCCGAACTCCTTCGGACCCAGGCCTGGCAACTCGCAGGACTTCACGGAACTCAGGCACTCTCAGCGGGGGGTCTCGGGTTCAAGTTGACGGATGTGGTTTTGTACGTAGGGTTTTGGGTTTGTCGGGCTTTGGGGCTTCCACTTTCAGGGCTGCGGATGAGGGCAATCGGGCTTGTCGAGTTCAGAGGTGTACTCTTGATAGATTGGAAGTGAAGGTGGGTTGAATTGTCTTGATTCTGCGGCAGTTGGAGAGTCTCCAATTCCGCACCAGTTGATCATGCAGTACTGCAGCTGCTTTCGCATCACCGAAGCATGTCGATTTCAATTTCAATAGCACATCACTCCCATTGCTTCTCATGTATCCTTCGCGTTTGGCTCAGTCACACCGGCAGTGCTCAACCACTAGCTGCGTCATGGCGGCCGTGCAAGTGGTGCAGTTGGCGCCGGCGTTCTGGGGCGAACAAGCCTTGTACGGGCCTCACTACCGTGGGGGCCTGGCACCGCCGCCGGATTGGTGGGCACAGGCTGCCCAAGCCTGCGCCCTGAGCCAGTATCAAGTTGCAGCGCTGCAACAGCTGTTCCAGCCTTGCCGCTGGCAGACATTCAACGGGTTTAGTTACCAGCCCATTCAACCTACACCGCCAATGATGCAGATGGCAACTCCTCATTACACATCCCCTGCACCCCCCACGCCTGCGCCTTCCCCTACACAGCAAGCTTACCCGCAAGCACTCCATCCAGCACCAGCGGCAAGCATCCCAACGTCGGCCCCCACGAGCTCACCCAAGAGCCCAGCGCAACCTTCCTGGGCGGACTTGTCGGAGGATCTAACTCCACCAAGCCTGAACGAGGAGTTGCCAACCTTGCTCCCCAAGCCTAGCAAGGGCAACGGGAAGGGAAAGGGAAAGACTGCCAAGAAGTCCTCCAAAGGAACGGGCAAAGGCAGAAGCGGTGGCAAGTGGCACGGAGACTACTCCGACTGTTCCTGGAGGTACCAGAGCTACCACTACTGCGGCTGGTACTGAGTTTACCCGCGATGGTACAAGAGTGTCACCCGTACCTGCGACTGTTCAGCAGGCTGGTAGCATGACTAAGTCAGCTGCCCGACGACGAGAGACGAGGGGCGACAAAGCCTCCCCCCGAGCAGAACGGTTCCGTCAAGTTTCCTCGAACGAAGAACTTGTCTGCACAGAAAAGCAGACACCGGCATTGCACTGTAGGGTAGGCTAACCTCGCTTGATGCTTACTTCGTGCATCACACCGACGACACTGGCAGAGGCCAAATGAACGACCTGACGGTGGGTCAAGGTGGCGGGGAGCTCAGCTAGAGCCACGAATGTTGAAGAAGAGCAACCTGCAAATAGACGGAGCAGGAGGTGTTGCAGCATCGCAGAGACTGAAATATCTCAGGAGTACGAAAGGTGTTTTGAGAGCGGCATCCATGTGGCATCCGTCGCAAGAAATCTTCGCAGTTTTGAGACACTTTCCAGACATAGACTGGCCGGCAAGGCAGCTTTTGCCGGCTTTTGTGTGGAAGCTCACCTGTCGCAAACTCTCCTGTCACCTGTGTGTTTTTTGGTCAGGCCCCGCAGTTCCTGGGTCAGTGGAGCTCCGCCCTCAAATTGCTGTTGTGATACGAAACGGCAGAATCCGCACAGACTCCGAGCCTATGTGGTTCCAGCCAAAGCACGGTGTTCTCTTCTTGGTCAACCGCCGAATCTAGAATCCAGCTGAAGTGCAGCGTTGAACGCTCAATTCTCTGACTACGTCCTTCTGCATCGCACGACATGGTCTTCGGAAGTAGCACACGATGTCGTGGGAAATCGCATCTCGCAAGCCGCCCCGAGACGGTGGCAGGAAAGATGTCGGCTTGGGCGGTGCCTCGGAAGCTTCGCAGGGCTCTCAGATGGTCATTGCTCGGTGGGTCTTCCCTGGCAGCCTTGATGGTGGAACATGCTGCTAGTAGACCTTGCATTTGGAAAACAGCAGGAGCCCACAGGCGATTGTTACAGAGATCGCCTGAAAAGAAGTGCGTGCCGTAGGCCTTGCGCAGAACGAGTCAGCCCAACCAGCTGCATTAGGAGAGCAATGATACTAGTGGTGTCACTATTGAAAACATTCGTTCAAAAATGAAGCAAAATAGTTAGGGCTGGTATTGCATCTCGCGAGCCTGAATACTAACAATTGCATGACCGATAGCGATACCTTTTCCCAGAATGCCATGAGCATTATATGGATCAGAGTCCTTGCTGCAGCAAGAGCACTGCTAGGTGGAAGCTCATCGGGAAAGCAAGAACCTGTTGTAGCGAAAGCAGACTGGCAATGATTTATCTGAAGAACAGCAGCAGTCGATCATGGCAAGATAGGACGCAATGGTAAGACAAGTCAGCTTCGATGCCCGCAACACCCACGCAATACCCGTTGTGGCAGGTTTCATCATTATAGCTTTCATCGTGTGCTACATCCTGACAGGGATACGCTTTGCCAGTCATGTTCCGTGTCCCGTGCATAGACATCCCCTCCTTTCCGGCTGCCGGTTTCAATTAATTAAGCTGCTTGGGTAAATTCCGACGGCACGTGAACTCTCTCCTGTAGCAATTGCAATTGAATGGTTCGTCTCGAACATCCACCGGTGCAATAATGAAGATACGAACGGTGATGAACGTGTGATGCAGCAGTCTGGTGCCAGCTGCGACCCTTTGAGATGTGTGTGGCTGCAAGGACCTGCGCGATAGCTTTGATTTGGCAGCAAGTGCCTTGGCCCCGAAAGTTCATGCACATGTGTTAGTTCTCAGAATCACACCAGTCGACTGGAGACCCGCAGGCAGGCAATACTGTCACCCACAGAAGGTATCACCAGTCGCTGTGTCAGTTCTTGGTGCACGCACCCGCATGTGCATGCGGAACCGTGACTTCAGTGGTCAAATCCGCAAGGTTGCTGCATCCAGCATCAAGATGTCAGCAAGTAAGGTGAACTGCAGCGGATTCAGTCAAGTCGAGCTGCAGACGGAAAGTAGTTGGGGGCTTCCACCGGACGCCCAAAGTGCAATGGCTCAATTTGGCTTCGAGCAATTGACAACGCCAGTCGCTAGCTCCTGCTTTCTCAATGCAAAGCATCAGGTGCAGCCCCGTCGCTTCACATGCTTCCTTCGCTTTTGGCTCAGTCGTCCGGCTTGCGCTTGAACGGGCTGGTAACTGAACCCGTTGACCGTCTGCCAGTCAGCCTTGCCACTGGCAGACGGTCAACGGGTTCAGTTACCAGCCCGTTCAAGCTCAAGCGCCAATGATGCAGATGGCAACTCCTCATTACACACCCCTTCCCCTAGACAGCAAGCTTACCCACAAGCACTCCACCGAGCACCAGCGGCAAGCATCCCAACGTCGGCCCCCGCGAGCTCACCCAAGAGCCCAGCGCAACCTTCGTGGGCGGACTTGTCGGAGGATCTAACTCCGCCGAGCTTGAACGAGGAGTTGCCAACTCTGCTCCCCAAGCCCAGCAAGGGCAACGGTAAGACTGCAAAGGGGAAGACTGGCAAGAAGTCCTCCAAAGGAACGGGCAAAGGCAGAAATGGTGGCAAGTGGCATGCAGAGTACTCCGACTATTGCTGCGGCTGGTACTGAGTTTAGTCGCGATGGTAGGAGAGTGTCACCCGTACCTGCAACTGTTCAGCAGGCCGGTAGGGCATGGCGTCATGACCAAGTCATCTGTCTGTGGGCGAGAGAGACGAGGGGCGACAAAACTACTCCGACTACTCCTGGAACTACGAGAGCTACCAGTACTGCGGCTGGTGCTGAATTTGAACGCGATGGCAGGAGAGTGTCACCCGTACCTGCAGCTGTTCAGCAGGCTGGTAGGGCATGGCGGCATGACTAAGTCATCTGCCTGTCGGCGAGAGACGCGGGGCGACAAAGCCTCCCCCGAGCGGAATGGTTGAAACACTTGTCTTCCCAGACGGAAACAGCAGACGCCTGTGTGGCTGGCTTTGTGCATCACACTGACGATTTGCAGAGGCCCGATGCTCCCCCGATTGCCTTGGTGACAGACTCTGCCTGACGGTGGGCCAAGCTGGCGTGGAACTCAGCTTCTGAAGCCACCGTCCTACGACGCTAGTTGCCTTCAGGTTGCTTCCCGCAGCTGCCCGCAACGGCGCAGGCTCTGTACCTCGGCGAAGGGTGTGGGCACAGCCTTTGCTCTTGAGAAGGCAGTGCTTCTCAGACTGCCTGACGCACGGACTGCTGCGCGTGCCTGGGACCTGGCGATAGAGTGCAAAAGACCAGCGTACCCATGCTAATCTTGTATGCTATGCAGGTCAAGCAAGCAGACCCTGCTGTTATACTGGTGGATGTTCCGTCAGAGGCCACTTCGCTTTGTTCTGCGGTCCGAGTCGGATGTTATGTCAGCTCTTGCAGGTTGCCGTGGTGCCCACGATCTGCAGAGCGGCTTTTGGCCGATTCAGATCTGCTACCGCCCCAAAGAGATGGAGGCGCGGTGTCTGCTGTGGTGCATGACACGGCGAGGCCGCTCAAGGGGGTTTGGCACCCATTGTGGCCGAGAGGAAGGTGGGGACTCCGGAAGCAAAGATGCAAAAAGGCTGCCAAGAACAGTCGGTGAAAGGCTGTGCACGTTGCCGAGCTCTTGCGTGCACCTGAAATCGAAGAATCCTTCAGTTCCGTGCTCGGCCTTCGCCGGGCATCAAAATACCATTGTTCCATACCGCGAGGTCTCGGCGCTGGAAGCTGGTTGCCCATGGCACGCCGGTGCACTCGGCACGATCAGCTGCAAGAGCAACTGCACGAACGGTGTCAACTGCAACGGGGATTCTCTGATTTCAATTTCACCCAGTCTGCAAGATGGAGTCTCTTGGTAGGGTGACAGGTCATGACAGGTCATTCGGAAATCACAAGCGTGCTTTGATTGCAATCAATCATGCGCGCGGCTTCTCAGCTGAAGCCAGCACAGTCAGTAGACACAGATGTTCCGAAAAGGCGATTTGTGCCATGGTCCGACGTATTCCAAGATGCAGAAGCTAACCTGGTTGTATTTGTCCGATCCCGCCATTCGTACGCCTCTGCCGCCTTTTAGTCTGGGTTTCGTCCCGGTCGGAAGAGTAAGATGTTGTTGCGCTTTCCAAGCCATTTGCCTGCTGAGTCAGCACTACTGTCATTACTACAGCGTTGACGAGGGGCTGCCAGTATCTCGTATTGCTTCGGCTGCTTCCTGACTTCTGTCCGGATCACATGGATCATCCCGTAGTAGGTATTACCAGCCAGAACCGCTCAAACCCATGCCTGAAACCCTCAAGCCGAACGTCCGAAGCTCGGTTTCGAAGTTGTTGGTCTCAACAGTGGCTCCACAACTCTTGATTATCAGTAGGAGTATGTGTATTTTTCTTGCTTCGTCTGCTGATTCTTCTTAGTCTTCTTGGAGAGACCTCAAAGCCTAAACCCAACAAAGCAACCCTGAACCGCTGAAGCCCGAACTCCTTCGGACCCAGGCCTGGCAACTCGCAGGACTTCACGGAACTCAGGCACTCTCAGCGGGGGGTCTCGGGTTCAAGTTGACGGATGTGGTTTTGTACGTAGGGTTTTGGGTTTGTCGGGCTTTGGGGCTTCCACTTTCAGGGCTGCGGATGAGGGCAATCGGGCTTGTCGAGTTCAGAGGTGTACTCTTGATAGATTGGAAGTGAAGGTGGGTTGAATTGTCTTGATTCTGCGGCAGTTGGAGAGTCTCCAATTCCGCACCAGTTGATCATGCAGTACTGCAGCTGCTTTCGCATCACCGAAGCATGTCGATTTCAATTTCAATAGCACATCACTCCCATTGCTTCTCATGTATCCTTCGCGTTTGGCTCAGTCACACCGGCAGTGCTCAACCACTAGCTGCGTCATGGCGGCCGTGCAAGTGGTGCAGTTGGCGCCGGCGTTCTGGGGCGAACAAGCCGTGTACGGGCCTCACTACCGTGGGGGCCTGGCACCGCCGCCGGATTGGTGGGCACAGGCCGCCCAAGCCTGCGCCCTGAGCCAGTATCAAGTTGCAGCGCTGCAACAGCTGTTCCAGCCTTGCCGCTGGCAGACATTCAACGGGTTTAGTTACCAGCCCATTCAACCTACACCGCCAATGATGCAGATGGCAACTCCTCATTACACATCCCCTGCACCCCCCACGCCTGCGCCTTCCCCTACACAGCAAGCATACCCGCAAGCACTCCATCCAGCACCAGCGGCAAGCATCCCAACGTCGGCCCCCACGAGCTCACCCAAGAGCCCAGCGCAACCTTCCTGGGCGGACTTGTCGGAGGATCTAACTTCACCAAGCCTGAACGAGGAGTTGCCAACCTTGCTCCCCAAGCCTAGCAAGGGCAACGGGAAGGGAAAGGGAAAGACTGCCAAGAAGTCCTCCAAAGGAACGGGCAAAGGCAGAAACGGTGGCATGTGGCATGCCAACTACTCCGACTATTCCTGGAAATACCAGAGCTACCAGTACTGCGGCTGGTACTGAGTTTACCCGCGATGGTACAAGAGTGTCACCCGTACCTGCGACTGTTCAGCAGGCTGGTAGCATGACTAAGTCAGCTGCCCGACGACGAGAGACGAGGGGCGACAAAGCCTCCCCCCGAGCAGAACGGTTTCGTCAAGTTTCCTCGAACGAAGTGCTTGTCTGCACAGAAAAGCAGACACCGGCATTGCACTGTAGGGTAGGCTAACCTCGCTTGATGCTTACTTCGTGCATCACACCGACGACACTGGCAGAGGCCAAATGAACGACCTGACGGTGGGTCAAGGTGGCGGGGAGCTCAGCTAGAGCCACGAATGTTGAAGAAGCCGAACCTGCAAATAGACGGATCAGGAGGTGTTGCAGCATCGCAGAGACTGAAATATCTCAGGAGTACGAAAGGTGTTTTGAGAGCGGCATCCATGTGGCATCCGTCGCAAGAAATCTTCGCAGTTTTGAGACACTTTCCAGACATAGACTGGCCGGCAAGGCAGCTTTTGCCGGCTTTTGTGTGGAAGCTCACCTGTCGCAAACTCTCCTGTCACCTGTGTGTTTTTGGTTAGGCCCCGCAGTTCCTGGGTCAGTGGAGCTCTGCCCTCAAATTGCCGTTGTGATACGAAACGGCAGAATCCGCACAGACTCCGAGCCTATGTGGTTCCAGCCAAAGCATGGTGTTCTCTTCTTGGTCAACCGCCGAATCTAGAATCCAGCTGAAGTGCAGCGTTGAACGCTCAATTCTCTGACTACGTCCTTCTGCATCGCACGGCATAGTCTTCGGAAGTAGCACACGATGCCGTGGGAAATCGCATCTCGCAAGCCGCCCCGAGACGGTGGCAGGAAAGATGTCGGCCTGGGCGGTGCCTCGGAAGCTTCGCAGGGCTCTCAGATGGTCATTGATCAGTGGGTCTTCCCTGGCAGCCTTGATGGTGGAACATGCTGCTAGTAGACCTTGCATTTGGAAAACAGCCGGAGCCCACAGGCGATTGTTACAGAGATCGCCTGAAAAGATAGGGCTGGTATTGCATCTCGCGAGCCTGATTACTAACAATTGCATCACCGATAGCGATACCTTTTCCCAGAGATGCCATGAGCATTATGTGGGTCCGAGTCCTTGCTGCAGCAAGAGCACTGCTAGGTGGAGACCCATCGAGAAAGCAAGAATCTGTTGTAGCGAAAGCAGACCGGCAATGATTTATCTGAAGAACAGCAGCAGTCGATCATGGCAAGCTAGGACGCAATGGTAAGACAAGTCAGCTTCGACGCCCGCAACACCCACTCAATACCCGTTGTGGCAGGTTTCATCATTATAGCTTTCATTGTGTGCTACATCCTGACAGGGATACGCTTTGCCAATCATGTTCCGTGTCCCGTGCATAGACATCCCCTCCTTTCCGGCTGCCGGTTTCAATTAATTAAGCTGCTTGAGTGAATTAAGACGGCACGTGAACTTTCTCCTGTAGCAATTGAATTGAACGGTTCGTCTCGCACATCCACCGGTGCAATAATGAAGATACGAACGGTGATGAACGTGTGCATGGATGCAGCAGTCTGGTGCCAGCTGCGACCCTTTGAGATGCGTGTGGCTGCAAGGACCTGTGCGATAGCTTTGAGGTGGCAGCAAGTGCCTTGGCCCCGAAAGTTCATGCATCATGCACATGTGTTAGTTCTTAGAATCACACCAGTAGACTGGAGTCCCGCAGGCAGGCAATACTGTCACCCACAGAAGGTATCACCAGTCACTGTGTCAGTTCTTGGTGCACGCACCCGCATGTGCATGCGGAATCGTGACTCCAGTGGTCAAATCCGCAAGGTTGCTGCATCCAGCATCAAGATGTCAGCAAGTAAGGTGAACTGCAGCGGATTCAGTCAAGTCGAGCTGCAGACGGAAAGTAGTTGGGGGCTTCCACCGGACGCCCAAAGTGCAATGGCTCAATTTGGCTTCGAGCAATTGACAACGCCAGTCGCTAGCTCCTGCTTTCTCAATGCAAAGCATCAGGTGCAGCCCCGTCGCTTCACATGCTTCCTTCGCTTTTGGCTCAGTCGTCCGGCTTGCGCTTGAACGGGCTGGTAACTGAACCCGTTGACCGTCTGCCAGTCAGCCTTGCCACTGGCAGACGGTCAACGGGTTCAGTTACCAGCCCGTTCAAGCTCAAGCGCCAATAACTCCTCATTACACACCCCTTCCCCTAGACAGCAAGCTTACCCACAAGCACTCCACCGAGCACCAGCGGCAAGCATCCCAACGTCGGCCCCCGCGAGCTCACCCAAGAGCCCAGCGCAACCTTCGTGGGCGGACTTGTCGGAGGATCTAACTCCGCCGAGCTTGAACGAGGAGTTGCCAACTCTGCTCCCCAAGCCCAGCAAGGGCAACGGTAAGACTGCCAAGAAGTCCTCCAAAGGAACAGGCAAAGGTAGAAACGCTGGCAAGTGGCAAGGAGACTACTCCGACTATTCCTGGAACTACCAGGGCTACCACGACGACGGATCCTGCGGTTGGTACTGAGTTTAGCAGCGATGGTAGGAGAGTGTCACCCGTACCTGCGACTGTTCAGCAGGCTGGTAGCATGACTAAGTCAGCCGCCCGTCGACGAGAGACGAGGGGCGAGAAAGCCTCTGCCGAGCGGAATGGTTGCCCAATATGTCTCCTCCAACGACGAGCCACTCGTCTGCCCAGCAACGCAACAAAACAGACACTTGGATTGCATTGTAGGGTAGTTTGAGCTCGCTTGATGCTTACGTCGTGCATCACACGGACGGCACTGGCAGAGGCCTGATGAACGATCTGCCGAGGTGGCGTGGGGCTCAGCCAGAGCCAGGAATGTTGAACAATAGCAACGTGCAAATAGACGGAGCAGGAGGCAGTATAGAAGTGGCAGATGGCTGCATGAGTCCCTCGAGGAAATGAATCCTATGTCTGGAGCTGGCGGAGCACGTAGTCTTGGTGTTCCGCTGATCTGAGGTACGTTGCCGGGAGGGCTGCCGCCAAACTCGTGCCGTGGCAGCCGCTCCTGTCAGTGGCACCGAGACCGGAAAGAAGGGTCAGCACTCAGCACGAACGTCCACTTATGAAAGACGCAGCCAGGGCGCATGGCAAGGCCATAGAGACCCTAAGGAAAGGATTACTTGATTACATTGTGTCAAGAGCTTACACCATAAGTTGGTGTATATCTCCGAGCTTAGATTGGTAATCTTTACGCTGCTGCTTTGTTGCTACAGTCTACCAAACATCAGCACCTCACTATGCAGATTCCTCCAGCACTCTCCGGTTGATGGCTTCGTGGCACCTTGAGAGCTTGGACCGGGCGAGTGCCTCCCTTGACAGTGACTGGCCTGTGATATGTGCCCGGGATGAAGAAGCGGTCGAGTTGCGAAGCTGGTTTGAAGTGGAGCCAGCAGGAATCGACCCGGTTTGGCTCACAGCTTTGAGATTTTTTGGGAATGCCCTCCAGCCTGCCCTCCACGAAGCGGAGGTGCGATTGCCAGGAGGGCAGGCTGGAGCCGAGCAAGGAACATTGAAGAGAAGTTTGCCAAGAGGTTTTAGAACTCCAACGCAAGAAAGCAAGAGCTCATCCCCGGACATCTTTCCAGGCACTGACTGGCCTGCATGGCAGCTTCAGGCCTGTCTTGTATGGAAGCCTGCCGGAAGCTCTTTGGCTCGTCAACTTTCGCCAGGCTCCGCAGTTCCTGGGTCAGCGAGGCCCCGCCCCGCAATTGCTCGCGTGCTCACCTGACGGCAGAATCCGTGGCAATTCGCGCAGACCCCGAGCCCAAGTGGTTCCAGCTACCGCGCCGTGTTGGCTTCTCAGCCAACGTGGGCTTCAGATGCTGTAAGCACGCAGAGTAGGTGTCCAACGCTCAACTCTGTGCGACTACTCACTTCTGCATCGCATGGCATGGTCGAACCCGATGTCGTGGGAATCGCACCTCACCAAGGTGCGTCAGGCTATGGGCGAACCCTTCGTAGTGCTCTCAGATCACTGTTGGCAGTCATTGATCCGTCGATCGTTCTCTGACAGAGCTGTTTCTGCGGTCGTCTTGCTGTTGAATTGTGTTTCTTTCAGGCATCTTTTTATTATCGTTGAAGAGATATGTAGCTGCAAGCCGAATTTAGAAGCGCCTTCTCTAGGCCTGGCGCAAAACGGCTCAGCCCAAACAGCTGCAGGGGGCCCGGATATTCTGTGGCACAGCAAGAGCAGCAAGAGCAGAGCAAGAGAAGCAATAGTAATGGTGGCTACTAGTATTTGTGGGAAACGTCACTCGAATGAGCTGATCGCGACTCGCCTGATGAAAGTAGCAAGAGCAAGAGCTGGTGCGAGTAGTAGCAACGCCACCAGAGGTAACTTTCACATGGGTCAAAGCCATGTGAAATCCCAAGCCAGGCCGGACCCAAGGGCTTTTCTTCGCACAGGCGTTGCCCTGTTTCTGGAGCCATTTGTATTCCGCCATGCCAGCTTATGACAGCCGTAGTTTAATACGTAGTTTATTCTTATTACTGATATCGATGCGCTCTTCGAACGTGAGTGTGTCTTACCGGTCCGCCCGGCCAAGGTCGGTTCGGTCGCATTAGAGGCAAGGATGCTTCTGGATGGAAAGACACTTTGTTGAAGTGATGTCTGAGCGTTTGCCAGCGGCGCAATTGCCACTTCGGTGATCTACAAGGGAGTACCCTTGCATGAACATGTGAATGCCAGGGATCCCAAGCTCCAGTGGTGCGCACCTCTGCAGGGCCGAGGAGGAGGCAGGTCATGCCATGGCCTGCTGTCTACGACCCAAAACAGCATGGGTACAGTTCCTCATGTTACTCTTCATGTTGAGAAACGGCTTCGCCCAAATCGCGTTACTGATGCTGATAGCTTTCGCTTCGCAGCCATCTCGGCTCCGATGCGAACCGGGCCCTGTCTGCGCAGTCCAGCCGGGCTCTGCGCTGTCCTCTCCAAGAGCTCCTGGACAAATCTTAATCTTGGTCTCCAGGGAGTGCTCCAAACAACAGCTCCCTGTGGCTTCGTAGGTAACTGTCGTGGCAAGACAAGCACAATGCTAGCACCTAATCTTCTGCACAGACATGCAAAGAAGTAGTCCCGGGTTGATTGATTCTGCTGCTGTCTTTATTGGTAGTCACCTGCCGTTACCCTATGCTGAGACTGATAAGGAGGCAGCCAGCCGTTGCCCTTCATATTCCCCTTATCGGACGAAGTTCCACGAGAAGGCAGGGGACATGTTGCGGTCCAGCCTGAAAGGCTTACTTAGGAAGCCGACGAGCACCGATCCACAGTACTTGTCGAGGCGCTGGTTAGCTGAGATCCGATGCGCAGCTTTGCAGCATTGGTAGTTTGATGGTCCTGCAGCGTCACGTAGCGTGGAGACAGTGCAATACTGTATGAGACCTGCAGCACGCATGCATCCTCTTCACGTGGCTTCGGTCGCTACCTGCCGCAGCCTTCTTGCTGGCAAAGAGTGTAATTAATTGAACTCCAGAATTTCTCGACACAAGGCCGTGGCCCGTGGCTCTTGTCGATGCGAGACTAATGCACGGATAGGCTAGTAGGGGTGGCCACAGCAAAGGCAATAATGCAACTCAAAATCTCGCACAATCGTGTCGTTTAGATCACACGCTACGTTTGATTGACGGCTTCCGGCCACGGCTTGCTGCAATCGACGATGAAAAGTAGCACTGGCATGCGACGCTGCCGGTCAGCAATCCCCTGTGCAGCATTGGCATGGGCACTGTGCTTCTCATGCTTCAAGGTGTTGTCGCCGACAAGCTTCATAGCTCCCCCAAGAAACCGCCCTGCCCTGGAATCAAGTGCTGGCCTGGCTGTTGCAGCCGCAGGGGCTGCTTTTGAAGCTGGCACGAGTCCAGCTATGGCTCAGCAAGAGACTTTTGCTTTGCTTGGCAAGAGCTCCGCTGACCTGTTCCCGCTTTCGAACTTGAGCATCTTGACTTGGCTCTTGTTGATCGTCGCCCCAGGTTGGGAGTACACGAAATCAGCTGCGCTTGTCGCTCCAGTCATCAATGCCGTGATGTACGTGATCGTTGTAACATTCTTGATTACACATCCACCTCCAGATGCACCAGCAGTGGACTTTGGTAGTCTGAGCTCCATTGTCACCGCTTTCCAAAATCCCGACGGCGTCTTTGCTGGTTGGTTGCACTACTGCGTCTTTGATCCCTTGGTGGGGCTCGGCGAGGTGCTCGACAGCCAACAGAACAAAGTGCCACACGCCTTGGTCGCGCCATGCCTGAAACAGCAGCGCCTACTGCCTAGGAGCCCAGAGCCTTGGAAGTTGCCTACCCTACTAGCCGCCCCCCCAACCTGCCAACTGCTTCGCAAGGTACCCTGCCTCATCCTGACTCTGCTGTTTGGGCCGATGGGTTTTCTGCTGTATTTGGCCGTCCGAAGTGTCACTCTGGCTTCGCGCCCTGCAGCCAGCGAAGCATGAGAAGGCGCCTGCAGATTCTATGAATGCCGACAGCAGTCTTGCGGCAAAAACCTCTCACGGTGAGGGCACCACGGAGGGCACGGCTTCGGGATTTCAGCGGGTGGGAGCAAGTCTATCCGCCAACACCATAACGGACAAGCCAAGGTCGAAATGGTCTGCTTGTCATCATCGCAGTCGTCACGTGCTTCGCACCTCTCCGTGCGCCAAGCAGAGTTTTTCCGTGTCGGTGTTGTAGCTCAACAGTTGCTCCAGTATGGTGCAAGTGGCAGGTGCGCACATTGCGCGCGAAAATCCTGGCAGACGAGGCCGCTACAGGGCTTCAATTTCGTCGGAGCGCTTCTGTTTTGCTGCCGTGCGGGGTGAAGCCGGTACATTTACAAGACACTTCTAAAGGACGACAGCAGAACTCACTACATCGTTTGCGACGTTGGTAGACTAGACCTAAACGATAGTTCCAGCTCCATTCTCCATGTGCTGGCAGCCAACTAGCCAAGCGTTTCAGTCTTGAGGTCTTGGTGTTCTCTGTCGAAACGCAACAGGCTTTGGCAAGACAAGGTAAAAGCAGCACTGTGGCCGCCTAAAGGCAGCCTCGTTGATGCTTGCAGGTGTCCAGCCTGAGCAACACCACCTATCACCGGAGGCAAAGTCAGAGCTGAGTCAACACATGCCTGTGTAGACGCACATTGCCACGTTGTCGTGGTGCCTGCAGCTCATGGAGTGTGCCGTTTCCTTTGCCACGCCGTGATAAGGTGGGAATGAAGTTTTGCTTAAACGCGTTGCTGCCGTCGAGGTGAAGGTTTCCCTCTCTGCATCCGGGACAGTGACAAGAGAGGCTCTCGGTCTTCGATTCCCTGCACCAAGTTTGTGTCAGCCGAACGGCGGAAGCTTACTGCAACAGTCTACGGAGTCTACTGTGAAAGTAACCAAAGAAAGAATGAGAAAACGGATAAGCATATTGAGTGGTTTGAGTGCATGAACTAGGTGGTGGTGGTAGGAGTCAGAAGGCTGAGTTGAAAGTTGAAATAGCAGCCATAGGACGCTGAGGAGTAGCCGCAGCAAGTTTGAGATCGTCTCTCTTTTTGGTCGGTCGTCCACGCAGAGGAGTTCAGCCGAGCACGAAGCAGCTTGATGCGGCGAGACCTGAATTATGATGACACAATTCAGGCAGGGAAGCCCACCTCTTGCGTTCATTGGTCTCCGTGAGCGGATGTGAGCGGGCAGCAGAGCATGTAGCACGGAGAAGCTGGGGCATCAGGACGAGGATGCTGGAGCTGATGCAGGTGATCCAGATTCCGATGCAGAGTCAGACGAGGTTGCCGGAATGGAGTACAGTAGTGAAACTTGATGAAGCCTAGTCAACGTGCAGGCCGAAGACAACGATGATGCCAAGGCATTGATTGCTCGGAAAGGGGTTGGAAACTGGCGATGTTCCCTAAACCCCTAAACCCTAAACCCTGATGCTTCTGCTCTTCTGTGGTGCTTGTCATTCCAGTGCTGCAGGCAGAGGTAGGCTTTTGTGCGAGGGACCAGCTTGGGGTGGGTTTGCCAGTACGGGGGTGTGGTGGTTGGTGGTGAATCCCTGGGCTGGTTCCTTGTCAACCCCTCGGCCGAATCGGCCTTCCTACTAACCTCTCGGGCAGACGGAAAAGAGGGTTGTAAAAAAAAAAAAAACCCTGATGCTTCTCCCAGCCAAGGTCTCCCTTTGCTTTCTGACGAGCTTGGGGTTTCCTGCCGACCAGATTTCTTGCCTGCAGGAACCAGCCGCTTGCGACAGTGGCGGCGAAACCACATATCGCAGTTGGGACCCCAGATGCTGACATCCTGAGAGGCCGTTGGTAAGAAAGATATTAAATGAATACATATGTATATATATATATATACACACTACATGACTATATGGGTCAAGAAGCAGCTCTTTCTTTTCTTCCATTCGTGTCGAAGCCGCGGCGGAGACTGCGGAAGTCCACGACTCGAGTTCCGCCGAGGCCCTCGCAGCTTCCAGGTCGAAGCTCCAACTCAGGACTCGGCCTCAGTTCAGTACGACAAGACAAGCCCCAGTATGAGCGGACACGAGTGTCGCCGCGGCGATGCAGCAGACCTGCATGAACAGGTTCCTTTCACGCTGTCCCTGCGCATGCGATGGACTGGGGACAGTCCGCCGGATCTGACGCCAAACCCAGTTGCTAACCAGCATCGAGGTGCCGGATTGGTTGTAGCTGGTGCTGGCTGGAGGAGTTTCGCATTGCAGAAGGCCTTTGATGTCTCTGTTTCGCAAATCACAGTGCCAAGTGCGGACCTAGCTAAGGCTTGTGTTATCTGCTGGACGATTGATCCGGACTGCGGGGGGAGAGGGTCGAGACTGTCAGTGATTTATTGATGTGAAGCTTTCGGCCACGCAATTGTGCCCGCATCGCTTCCAAAGGGCAGGTTGTCCTTCCCACATTGGCGATTCGAGCAGTGCCGAGTTCAAGCGAAGGTCCAAGGAGATGTTCTGCTTTGGCTCGATGCCGACACGACACATGAGCCACATGCGATCGGTTTCCGTCTGGCATTCCGTGCCAGTCAGAAGCTTGCAAGGGCAGGCAGCTGGATTTTATCATTCGAGACTACGATTCTCTACTAAAACTTGTCACTAGGAGAGTCGCTAGGCTCCTGACTGACTGCGAAGAGGGGCGCGACAACAAGAGGCAATCGCAAGGGTGGATTGAGTGTCACGGATCCGGCCCTTAGGCAGGTGGGCTTCTCTGCTGGCAGTGTGAAGGGCTGACGTTTATCATGCTGCCTGATGGATCAGAACTTGTTGTTTCAGTAACCGTGTTGCAGCACAGCCATCACGCACAGAAGACTGTACGATCGTGTGAGGACACCACGCCGAGTACCAACAAAGAGCAGCATCTCGGCCTTGCTTAGCGCATGTTCGTTCGATTTTCGGGCAGGGCATGTGTTCTTACAGATCCGGATGTGTCACGACACGACAGACGTTGTGTATGTGTGTGTGTGTGTGTGTGTTTGTGCGCGTGTGCGTGCGTGCGTCGCCTGCACACATGCACGCCCGGTGCGCATGTGGCCACACGCAGGTGCTTCTTTGTGCACACGGTCGCGCACAGACACTGAAGTTCATTGAAGCCCACGAAAGCGCAACATGAGACCTACTTGTACGTTGACAAAGTTGACAAGCACAGTCACTCTGTAGATACTCTGATCTGGCACGCTGACAAGCCTGTGTGTGACAGGTTCTATCAAGGCTTGGATGGCCAGCCACCACGAATTGTCGCTCGGCTGGCAGCTGTGAATTCGGTTCCTCAAGCTTTGTGTCGGCCCCAGAGTTTTGACCTCGATGTGCGAGGCGCTGATGCGCATGGGGAATGTGCTCAACTACGCCACTTATCTTAAGTCCAGTTAATGCGTCTCCTAGGATAGCATAATGTGACATGACAGGGCAAAATCGAACTCTTCGCGGATGTCGGAAAGCCTGATGCCATGCTCAGGAAGAGTACGGAGCCGATGGAGGCACTGGCACCGTCAACCTTTTCACCTCAGCATCTTGTCCGAAACGACTTTAAGCACCGGTGCTCTCATCACCAGCTGGGCCCCAGCCCTTGCCTTTCAGGTGCCCCCAATTCATGATGCAATCGAATGTCGCCTGCTTGCCCAGCCAAGGCCAAGCAGCTCAACGACGGAGAGTACCACGAGGCCGGAATGCACTTGTTCAAAGGCATGGAGTCACTGCAGCAGACTGAAGTGAGTTCTTCGGTTCCAGCAAGCAGAGGCACCCACAGTCTGACAGGTCAGGTGCTGTCGAGCATGTTTTCAAATGCCAAGCACTTCGTGCATCACCCACCAAGTTAGGTCGTCGTTGTTCGCGGGGAGTCGCGGATTACGCTGTGGCCCCTTGTCTGCAAACATGATGCCATGCAACAGCCGTGTCGTCTTTACAGTTACATGGTCGTGGACATCATTCAGGATTGATGGGCAGCCTGATTCCTTCATTAGCAGACAAGCAAAAGGCGCGGGGCTTATCACCAGTCACCTGTATGGCCAGGCGATTCTCCGATTCTCCTTCCGGAATCCCTAGCAGTCCAGATGTTGAAATAATGAGGGGATCTTGTTTCGAAGCAGCGACCACTGTGGGCTTTTGTTTCCAGGTAACAACTTCCAAAACGCGGATCTGCCGGGGGGTGGCTGGGCAGCTGTATTATTGCACTTCCTTGCCTCAGCAGCATTTCAAGCCATCCAGACGCAGCAACTCAGTGCAGCCAAGGCAAGCCGAATGCCATTACTGGCAAGGCCTCGACATCGAACGAGTACTTGCGGAAGTGCCTAGCCATGCATCGAGAGCTCGCTTTCTACGGGCTTCACCGAGCTGAGCTCTTGAAGCAGAAGAGGCCTCCGACTCTTCTGCGTGTCATCTGAGGCAAGTGAAGAACACGGCGTCCTACAACAAGGCGCGGCTGCACGGTTGGGCAGATCCCCAAGGTCCCGCCAGGCATCCTGGACCAGAAGCCCCGCTCAGGTCGACCCGAACAACGGCAAGTGGGCCTTGAAGGGCGAGGCCGGCTCCAGACTGCCTTCTTCACGCTCAGTGGTAATTGGTCTCTTGCTTAGTGGTCTGACCTCCGTCGCTGGCCGGGCAGTCTCTGCTTCACTTGCACATCCCCAAGTGGTTCATGCGCTAGTCAAGAAGTGACCAGTTAGACACTTCGTAAGTGTTTGCCGACACCGGCGTCACTACCACGACTACAACTGTTACCAGCAGCTGCTTCTTCTCATCATAACACCAACTGCAACAAGTCATGTGCCGAAGATCCGCTGATCCTTGGTTGGAAGGTCACCAATGTGAGGCTGTACTACACTGCTGCGGGCTTAGCTGTGGTTGAGTGGTTGACGTGCATGGGATTCATCACTCCAGTTTAGTTTCATGGATTCATCACATAAACTCAGGCTTCCTAGCCAGGGTGCCTCGCTTAGACCACTGATTGGAAAGCCCGCCTCAAATCAGAAACGGTGGGTGCTGCAGGTGTTGAAGGAACGAACCGCCCTAAGCGTGACTGCCTCTTTGCTTCTTACCTTTTATCCCAAAAGCTGTCGTCGATTCTTGCAGTGCTGTAGTCTCAGTGCAGCACAACAGCTTCGAGGAATTGAGCGCCAACGACTTCCCCAACAGCAAGACTTCTTGCGAGGCCTCAAGCAAGAGATACAACCGGCACTGTTGCTCTGGTGCTGTCAGTTCAATCAGACCGTAGGGCATATGCTGGTTCTGCACAGCCGGTCAGCAACGAGCACAGGCCACCACTACACAAGCCAGGCCCTCAGTTCGAGAAAAAAGTGTGTGCATTGCATCAATTGCTGGAAGCTCTCTGAAAGCTTCCGCCCGCTCGCAATCGCAGTTGGGCTCAGAGGGGTTTTCACCGGCCCTCGGCCTCCCCGGAGGGCCTTGGTCCTCGTCGAGGCGAGGTGCTCGAGTCCGAGTCTCTGGCGGCCTGGCGTTCGAGCTGACTTTTTGGCTCTTCGTCGCGAGGCACTCTCGGTGGGGCCATGCAGCGCTCGGAGTCCGCCCCCGGAGGCGCCACGTCTCGGTCCATACTGCAGTCCCTTGTCTCGGAGCATTCCCATGGAGGCGTGGAGAGCTTCCTGTCCGGACGACCTGCAGCAGCCGCAGCCTCTTGATTTCATTCGGAATGATGATTCGGAAATGTTCGGAGCAAGGATGTCTTCGGAAACAGCACAGCCAGCCAGTAGAGAAAGCAGTGATTTGCGGGCAGTGATATTGTGTGGTAAGGACACCGAGTACCTCAGCAAGCTCTTGCCATATGTGGGAGCTCCACATCATTCCCGGCTGATGAGCATGCATCCGCTCAGCGAAATCAGGACGTCATCTTCCATGATTCGTAACGGTTGGGCCCCTGGCCACCACTTGTAGCATTGCATGCACCCGTCTCTTAGCCACAGCATATCACATGCGTGCCCATCAAGTTGCGAGCAGTGCAACATGGCATGATGTTACTGCACCATGTGCTTTGTTGAGTTCAGTTTCCTACGACGGGCAGGAACGGTTGCCAAATGGAGGGAGTCAGCATGAAGGAGGCTGCTGGGACTGAATGATACGAAATGCTTTCGTGCTGCATGTTCGCAACATTCCCAAGCTCCGTCAGATGACAATCACAGTGAGGCGACAGACTCATATTTTCATACACAGGTTCCTAATAACATGCTGTTGCTGAATGGTTGTCGTATGACTGGAGCACACAGCGCACAGTGTATCGCTGCAGAAGAACCCTGAAAGAAGTCAGAGGCCAAAGGGGTCGTTTCAAAGTTTAATAGGGCTGTCGCCAGAGTGAGCGCCTGAAAGCCTGCTGAACCAAAATCAGACAGAGGAAAAGCTGAACTTCGCGATAGTGTAGGACTAGGACTTGTTGGGCTAGATGGGTTCGACCGCTTCGGTCTTGACAACGGCGCTTGCAAACTGGGTTGACATGAGTTGAACTTTATTATGACAAAAGCACACTCCAGCAAATTTCGAGCTGTGTTCAGGGATGTGCGAGGTAGCTTGGCCTTTGACTGAGGTATGGAAGCGACGGAAGCTCGGCAGCTCGGCTTGCAGCAACATATTGAAAAAACGGGAAGGACGCACGTGAAGAAAGAAGCGAGACTGCTTGGCATCACTTCCGCCCAGGAACCATGATGGAATGGGTAACCATGTCAGGATTAACATGTCCCCCTTACCGGCCCCTCCCCCTCTCGTCTTGGGAAAGATTAACAATGGAATGCGGTCCTGTGGATTCTCATTCTCATTTCCGCTTCTTATTGGCCGGCTACTCCCTCCCGGGCAGGGACTGGGAAATAAGAATCATGAAATGGGTTTCCCATTCCAAGATTCTGGTTTCCACCCAAAGCAGTAAAACGATAACATAATTCAATAGCAATCATAGTAACAGTAAGAACAGTACTCATAATGCTACGAATAGCCGAATAGCAGCAAAACTTCTTGTGATTATTTCCAGTGGAGTGTCAGCTGGGAAGTGTGCCATGAAGCACAATTTGCTCAAACAGCTCTTTCTGGACAGGCAACTTCGTGCTGCAGAACTCGACGTCAGAATCGTACCAGTCACATTGTGAGGCGGGAAGAGAAAACTCACATGCTTGGTTGCGGCCCTCTCACCAATAGATGCTGCTCAGCAAACTGTCGGCATGCAGGCGTCAGGGCCTGCGGCAGCTGAGCCCTGGCACGACAAAAAAGTGCAGTCCAGTTTGCATCACCTGGGAGTTTCCGAAGATTTGGGGTACCTTATTTTGGTGTTCCTATCACGAGGATCCTACTATTTGGGGTACTATATTCGGGTCCCCTATTTTCGGAGACTCCCACCCCACGTGCTGTTGTGGTACGTCGTGCCGAAGCCACCGAGGAGTTCACCTCCAATGACACCATCAACAGAGTGCGACGAAAGCATACGCGGTCCGGCCTTGCACCATGCGACAAGTACAAGTGGATGAAGGCCGGGGAAGCCGTGGCCTAGCAATCTCTTTGAGCAGGCATTGGAGCATAGCCCATTCACGAACCCTCTTGACAGTCCAGGTGGCCTCCACATCCATTGGCTGGCACGCGGAGACTGACCACGGCCGCTCTTTGTTGAGACATCCAGTGCATCTCGGTTTATGACGTTGAACTGTGAAGGTCGTGTTTGAGGTTTAAGATCATGCAATCCAGACTCGCGGATCTGAGGCATGGCATTGCCGAGTCCACAGTCACAAAGACATATAGCAACATGAAGGCACGGTTGGAATTTTCTAGCGCAGTTGGCAGCTTTGTATCAGCATCCAAGCCGCTGCATGTCTGCAGGACCGGCTCGAAAAAGAACCACGGGACTTAAGTTCTTAGCCTTTGCACAGGTGTGCCCGCAGATTCTGAAAGGTTGCCCATGAGAGGCAATGGAATTGATTTCACGAGCAACCTGCTGACCTTCATGGTGGAGGTGCCCGTGATGTCGAGCCGATGGACTTTCGAGCGGATCAGCTCTTCTATCTCTGCGACTTGGTCAACCTAGTCCAGGTCTCGCACGTAACTCCAACCGCGATGGCCCAAGCACGCGGAGTGATGCGTTGCCTCGCAGAGGATGCCAGGAGCGGCTTGACTGTTCGTCTGCCACGAGACTTAGACATACCGAAATTTCACTTTCAGCTGGTGTGCGAACGGGATACCTTCGCGTTCAAGAGGATGTCTACACTCCTGGAGCTGGGGAAAGCCATGCGCTTGCCAGGTTGGGCCTCCAACGACAGGGGCTGTAAGCTCGTGCGAACCAGAGAGGCCATGTTTATGGAGCAAATCGAGTCAGAGCAAGACGAGTTCGAAGATCCCGACGCTGCGCAAGGGGAGGTGCTCCTCGACATCGAAGACTACTGCTTCGATCATGGCGTCTTGGATCCTTATCTTCCCCTGCGCGCAGAGTTGCAGCAGTTCTTTGAAGCAGATCAGCAGCCAGGCCGACTTCGAAGATTTGTTAAAGCAGCAGCTGCCGGACTTCGGGCCTTCGGGAAGCAGAAACTGTCTCCAGAAGCCAAGCTTGCGCTACGCTTCTACGCAGAGCTACGGTTTCCTGAGCAGTAGCTTGATCGATGTTGGGGAGGTTGCAATCCGAGCTTTGGGGGAAAAGGTCGCTCAAAAAGGAGCGCTGCTGTGAAGGGAAAGCCGTCGCACTAATGCTGCTGTTCAATGACTAACCCAGACTGCCGGTTTCGTCAAAAATCGAAACAACTGCTGCGAGCAACAATCTCATCATGAACATCAGAGTATGCCATAGTATGCCTCACCAAACCTGAAAAGACTTTGAAAACAGGAGCCCAGTTGCACGTGGGATTTGCTGGGCTTGGAATACGGGTTCCCCAAGTAACACTCGTCATTGCATTTTCGCAGGCCACGAACATGGAGGCCTGCCTCCGCTTGTGCAAATGATCTGAGCTTGCTGCTGGACCTGCGTGATTGCATGAGGGGCGGTGTGGAATCGTTGATCATCTGTTAAAGCTTTCCGGGTTGGCATAAGGTTTCACCTTCACGTCTGGGTATAGCTCTCTACGTGTAGCTGCGCAATCAGTATCCGCAAAGCCTGAAACACGCTTTTCGATGGTGAGCTTGGACTCCTGGCAAAGACAGTGTCCAAGCGCTTGCCTGCCTTCACAGACGGCATGGGAGTTTCAGAAAAGACAGGACCGGAACGTAGACTCCAAGCAGCAACACTCGAGGCGAGTCTGTGAATCGACATCGGTTTGTTCATAGCTTCGATTGACATTTTCACTCCAACGAAAGGGCTGCATGGCCTAGTGTGGAGAGGCCGGCAGCGAGGCGCAGCCGCATTGTAGTCATTTCAGGACCCAAGCATCGAGGTATTTATCAGGATCCAGCACTGAATCGGCTTCCACTGAAAAAGGGATCTTCTAGGAGAAGCAGTACGGTGAGCACAAAGCTTCCAGAAGTCGGAGCCGAAGTGGTGCCTCTCTATGTCGATCAAAGATCACACGGAGATGGTTTCACACCAGCTCAGCTACCTGCTGAAGGCATGGGCAGAGCAGGATAAAGGCAGGTTTGCCGTGCCGTTTCTTCTCGTTGTCCGAGAAGTACATCCTTCCTGCCCCTGGCTCGCTCAATTGCACCTATCCCACGGCTTTGTCGCAGCTGTGTTTCCCTCCCTTCCATCCGATTCTGAACAGCTCAGGCCCCGGTGACCTGCCACACCAGCTGTGATCGCTGTGATGGTGCTTCGGAGGACGTCACTTTGCTTTGGACACTTTGATCTGTTGGCTCGTGCTTTTCGTTCCTTCGCCATAAGGGTTGGTCCTTTTGTTGAAGAGACGTTGATGATGGTTTCTCCGATGCTTCGGCTGTGCATAGCACCTCCAGTCACGCTCGCAGGAGGATTGTCTCAGCTGCAAGGCACGCCGCTTTCTGCGCCATGGAAGCACGACAGGTTCATGCCCTCATGTCCATAGGCGTGCAGGCTCAGCCGATGATCTGATGTGTTCGTATCTGACAGCCGAAGAAAGCCGCCTCCTTCGACTAAGGCACGACAGAAAGTGCTTGGAACAATGCCCTGACGGCACCTTCGGGGACTCCGACTCCAAGGCTTGCACCCAATGCCCGGTGCCGAGAACGGAAGCTTCTTTGGCTCTTTGGGTGCAAAGTGCTCAACAACTGCTGTTCTGCCACGCCGAGCGAGCCTACAGGGCACTTGCATGAACTTCCATGATATTCCATGTGTGTGCTGAGGTCACGACTCCTGTGGCAGTTGCTGGGGAACTCAGGTGAACGCCGTTTGTAAACCCGAGCGCCTGCAAGCACTTTGAAGCATGCCCAAGGCTCCGGCAGTGGAGCAGCTTGATGGCAAAAAATGCTCTCACGGCGTAAGCGAAGAACGTCAAATTCGACATCGAAGCATTTGCAGCTGTTAAACCCATAGCTCTGCAGCTGAGGAAGCAGATTGCCAGAGCTGTGACAGCCAGGACAACTTCCTGCACAACGGCCGGTGTTTGACAGCTTGTGTCTTGTCGGGGACGGCCTTCATCAAAAAGCTAACCATTGGGTGAGAGGGACCGTGCCGGCTGCCTAAGTCCAATTCCAACAAAAAGCGTCATTTTACCATAGTCCCCCACCTTCTACGAAGTACTGCCCGTGAGCAGCTGGTCGAGTGCTAGAGTACCTGACGTAAACGCATCCACCATCCAGAAAGGGGATGAACAGCTTCTCGCAGTCCTGCGGTACATGCAGAGAAGGCGCACCGGTGGTATCGCAAAACGCTCCGGGAAAACCCCCACTTTAAGATGACATCCATCTTACCCCATGGTTGCTGTTGTCTTGACCTGTGGGTGTGTAGAGTCTAGCACAGGTTCTGGAAATGTGATGCACCTGTGTTGGAATTTAGATTAGCAATGTGAAACTGGCGCTATATGATTCGCCGCCGGGGAGCATGTGGAGAAAGTGCCCGTGGCGGGAGGGAGGGTGGCTGTGGTAGGCAGCTTGCGCGGTCGCAGAAGTATTGGCAGAAGGACTGCTCAGTCGATGAACACGAACTTTTTGTCCGCGGCATCAGGGTTCTCATGCTACATTGCTCTTCCAGCCCAGGCCCTCCACAATTCTTCGCCGATGCAAAGAGAGTTTGCGTGAAGCTGGCTGGCAGTGTGCCTTCGCTTGCAAGTGCCTTGTGAAGCTGAGTTGCACCAAAGCCCTTGTTGCCAGTGCCCGCAGCTCACACAATCGTACTTGTGAGTCTACCGTGCGTGCCTTCTGGCCGACAACCTACCATTGAGCGCATTAAGGTTGTCGCCTTGAAGACGCACCTCAGCTGGACAAGGTCCTTACTGACCCTACTGTGGATCCATCAATGTCGAACACTTGTGTTTTGCAACTCTTCGACCACTCGACTCCCATGCTGTTAACACATGCTGCAAGCAACTGTCTTTCGGCCGCAGCGAATTACGTGAAGAGCGCTCCTTGCTGAGGACCGGCAAGGGTGGCACATTCTTCGTGTACTCCAACAGCACGAGCTGCGTCAAGTTGGTGCCTTTGGTGGATGCCTCAGCTTCCAAAAACCAGAGCATAGGGAGCATTGTCGAGGCAGGACCTGGCAAACCTTCCGCGGCATAAGACTGGCTTTCGTGCGGTTGAAGTCGCAGCGACGAGGATGAAAAGGAGAAGGAGAATCCAAAGAAAGTCAGCGATGAAGCGCCACTCCCTTGCAATTGGATGCGCTTGTGCACACTTCCTAGCACCTGCAGGTGCCTTCATGCACAAGTAGATTTGATATTGCTGTCTGCGAGTCTGCGGTGATGACAACGAGGAAAATGTGGATGATCTCCGACACGGGCAACGGTGAGACCTCCCTGCGTAATGTGCGCTGGCTGTACGAGCCATGAGAGCGCTGCACACATCTGGCCAAGCCTTGACTGTAAGCGGTGGCACGAAAGGTCAGAACGGGTATGGCATTGCACATGTGCTCTTGGCTGCATGAAGGATTTAGGAATTTCGAGACTGCGCACAGGAAAGTGCTAGTCACAGTCATCCAGTTTAGTTGTAACTGGATTGGGCCGGTCAGCGCGAGCGGTGTAGGCAAGGCCGAAGTAGGCATACTCGACTCGAGCCAAGGCTTGCGAAGGCACGCTCACAGACGAAAGAGTCTGGCTGCTCCGAAACCCTGTCAAGCTGCGCAGTGGCACGGCCACCCACGCCAGCAACTTTGCCAGCAGTCGGGGAGTTGCTGCACGTGCTGCGCCACCCGTTCGCACTGTACTTCCTTGAAGGTCCTTGGACAAGACGAGCTTTGGACGGACAACGAGTGGGCAACCAGCCACTAGGTCCGCAAGGTAGTGTCAGGGTGGGTCCACTTTGAGTATCTGAGTAGAACCCGAAGGATGGCTGCCCTGATCGTTTCACAACTGAGGCAAGTGTGAGAAGAGCGCATTCACGGTGACGCCAGCAGGCAGCTATACAGGGCTGCTAAACCGTGCCACCGACTTCAAAAAAGCGCAAAACAAAGTCCAAACGCTTCTTTGATCTAGCAGCTCTGCGCCGGAGGTCCATCGACGATTGGGCTCAGCATCGGCAAACGTTGCTCACAAAATTTCGCAGAAGTCATGTCTGCGTAACGTGTCAGACGAAGCCTCTACTTCGGCTTCATCGTTCTTGTGCCTTCTTTGGGAGGGTGAGATCTCAGGTTACCTTCGCTTTCACAAAGAGGCGGTCATGATGTCGGATGAGGTGGATGCAAGCCCGGCTCTCGGAGACGGCTGTGCCGGACGAGAGAGGGCTGCTCTGAAAGCTGAGGTGAGCCAAAGCTGGACAAGAGCATGCGTGGCGGTCTCAGCGCATTCCATCGCTCGTTGTCGACTCTTGAATCTGTAGCTTGATTTACCGAGCTAGTATGCAAGTCTTTCTGCCTCCGGAACTCGGAAGTGAGACAAAGCTTTCCGCGCCTGCGAGGCTTTGAGCCGGTGGTCGTGCTGCCTGCGGTGGCCTCCGAGTTGAGGACCCGAGGGCGATGCGGGGTGCCTAGGGGGTGAGCGCCGACACTCTTCTGCAATGTCTATTCCCATACACCGAGGCAAGCAGATGATCACCCAGTCGCTCCAGTGTTCTGCCGCTGCCGGCGGACAGGCTGCATGGACTGTGGCATGTTTTGATAGTCACATTGGTTTACACAGCACCTCATGCAATCGCCATTCCAAGGAGGCGGTCCGTGCTCTCTTGGGCTCCCGCGCGTCAGTGTGCCTGTTTGATACTGTCGATCGGATTGTGTTGGTGTGTCTGTCTGGTCTGCGAAGGCCTTATTTGTGTGAGGATAGCTTCCTGGTTTATCGCCACTTGCTCAAGATCAGTACAAGACCCTGACAGAAAAGGAACAAGGAAACTGGCGCGCACAGACTTACTCCCAACTCCAATCCAATTCTATATGGGAGTTTCCGAAACTAGGGCGACCCTAAATAGTAGGATCCTTGTTATAAGGACACCAAAATACGGTACCCCCCAATTTTCGGAAACTCCCAAAAGTGTTCACCCTGACCTTGGACGGGTGGCTTTTGGGAGGCAATTGATGCCTTCGCTGACTTCACGGAGCAGAGTCGCCCACTCAGAACCATGCATGGGAGAAGATGCGCTAGCATCCGCTGATCATGCTTGTTCATACTGATTTGTTGGAGAGCTCTTGCCAGTGAGCACACCTGCTTTGTTAGGCTCTTCGGAGGGAGCAGTAGAGGGGGTTTTGCACAAGGGTCCCCGGGCCCACCTACAACCGCAAGGACTAAGAGGCATCGCAATTCTAGCAAGCTGATTCGGCCACGGCAAAACGGTTCTGCAATCACACTGTCGGGCTTCATGCAATATCCTTAACTCTCAGTCTCTCAGTCTTTGAACACCTTCGTCCACAAGCTTTGCGTGCCTTGCCGTCCCGAAAGCTATACATCATCACCCTGCGGCTGCTTAAATCAGAGATCTTTGAACAGTGAAACAGCACTGAGTCAATTTGTGAAGGCCCGGACACTAGCAAGCCGCCGTGAGCTCAGCTTTGTCGTGTGTGATCCATTATTGCTCACATGTGGATCGAAATGAATCTTCTTTACACGTGGGCGCGATGTATAAAGTGGTACCACGCGAGGAGGTTATTTGCAGTCTCCCGGCTTTAGAGTCAGGCCTGGCTGCTACTACTACCAGCACGAGATTTCCGCACCGAAGGGCAGCGGCGCCGGAGCCCTCAGAACAAGGGCGCGGCAGGGCGGTCCAACCTGTCAGCCTTGAGCCGGTGATGGCTTCTTTGTGTCAACTGAGGACCAGTACAGCGACTTGCCTACGAAGGTCCGGCCGACATGGTCCCACCTCGCCTGTGCATTCGACACACTTCGAAAAAAATGAAAACCCCTCCAACAGCCGGCACTTCCACCACGGGCAGCAGCTGTTGCGGAGCCCATTGTCATAAACCTCAAAAGGTAAAACTGGGCTGCCAGACTCCTAGACCTTGAGAAGGATCGGGAGTCTGAGCCCTCAAGTGGCTCAGCCCAAGGCACACGCTTGGATGCTAAAGCCGCGCGTTGGCAACTTGCAAACTGGGACCAGAAATACGCGCTATGTAGGCTGCAGCTTATTAGCTGTGCATCGATGAAAGCACGGACACTGCATTCAAAAAACAAACCTTTCAGACGGAACGATCATGGCTTCCAGTGGCAGGTGTCCAGACTCGCCCTGAACCTCCTCAGCTCCGACACCGAGGTCTGACCGCCCGCTCGCACATGCGCACGTGACTTATGATCTTGCATATTGCAGCTTCTCAGACTAGGCCAGGCATGGTGTCAGGAAACACGTGACGGTGTTGTCATTTAGAGGCACTGGCATGTGGCAAGCTTGTTCCATACACCCGTAGCAGGCCGACTACTCTGCCTTTGCCGACTGCTCGTCAAAGATGCCATGCCTTTGCAGCTCGCCGCAGTCAGTGCAATGTTGCGGCAAGGAGGTGTATCCTTCCGAGGTTGGGCAACACATGGAGAAGACAAGCTTTCTAGACATATTTCGTGTGTTCAGGCCGTTGTTGGAGAACACGTTGGGCTTTGCGGTTTCGACGGTCATCGGCAGCCCTGCAGTTGCAAGCTCGCTACACTTTCATAACAAACGGCAGTGCTTGATAACAGTGACGAAAGATGGTTATTGCGGTGATTGTTCTTGTTGGTCCTGGTTGCGTCTCTGCCAAGACACTTGCTCCTTCTGAGATTGTCATTGCCTGTGCCAAGGGCGTTGCTCTCCAATCTTTGCTAGTCGTGCGACTGCGACAATGACAACTAGCTCACTAACTATCCGTTGAGTGAGTGAGTGAGCAAGCGACTCGCTGCACGAGGTGGGTCGTGCAGCAGCCATGCCTAAGGCGCCGATCCCTCCCGGCTTTCCAGGGGACTCCGCAAGCGTCATTGCCCCCTCCACTTGGAGTTCACGCTGGCAAACGCCCCAACCCCAGAAACAACGTTCTGAGGTCAGCAAAGAAGGCCCAGTTAAGCAAGAGGGCATGCCAACAATCGCATGAAGTAGCAACTAGGCAGGCCCGCCACCGGCAAGCCGGCACAAGGGCAAGACAGCCCGCCATCCTCGCGGATACCCGTGCGATCAGGCTCTTCCCTCGAAGGATCCCCCTACGAGGTACTAGGCCATGCAGGCAACGTCCCTCTGCATCGGGCTGTGCGCAGACGCGAGCCTAAAGGCAAGCACGCCTCTCTACAGATCCCTCTGCAGATACTAAGTGCCTATCTCCCCACCGTTTTCCTGTACCAAAGGTAAAGTGGCAAGAGCTTGGCCACCCACCGGCAATCAGGTCCCATTTCAGTGTGCCCTCTGAGTGCTGGGGTGACGGCCAAAAACTCTGGCCAGCACCCTTTCGGAAGAGGGGGAACTATCAGTTTACTCCACCCGGGCTCTCCCACGCCAGGTGTGCAGCAAAGGACATATATCAGGGATATACACGGAGCGACATGTGAAGGCGTATCCGGTCCGGCCAGCTAAGGCAAGAAGCAGTGACCTCTTCTCGCGTAGATCTGTAGATGTGAGGCCGGCTGCGGCCTGTAACTGTTGGAGATTACAGAATGGTGAAGTCCATGCAAAGGGTCATGGCCGGACAACAGGTCCAGCCGTGTCAACTTCGCGACCGGCGAACATGTCCGGGTCACCTGACCAGCATGCGGCGAACCCCGCGGATTGGTCCATTCTGTCTCGCGAATCGAAAAGGCGAGTCTGAGAGCAGCCGCTGTAGGCTGCGATGTCATGCTTTTGTTGAAGTAGGGACTGCGAGCGGGCATACATTAGTTGAGAAAAGCGACTGGGGTGTAGCCAATCGATAATTTGGCGAACACGAAAGGATATTCGCGCATTTTGAAATCACAATGCCTTGCACTTCTCACTGGCCGCCACCAGAGAAACTCCTAGCCAGCTCTTCTCAAATGCCACGTTGCAGTTCAATCGAGACTGGACAACAGAACGCAAGACTCCGGTGCAGGTTTCATGTGCCAGCATCAGCGGACACTGAAAGGCAGGTGAGCTGCAGCATCGAGCAAGAGATGCATTTGTGGCAGTTCCGATGCAGCTTTTCAGCTTTTGAGCCACTACCTCCAGGATAGCGCCACAATCGGTGACACTCTCGGTCATGTTTTTGAACATGATTCAAGCGTTTGAGTCAACTGAGTCGATCTCGGAGCCCCTGTACTTAGTGGAATGTTTGGAGCAGTGTTTCCAGCTGAATCAGTAACAAGCGGTGTTGTGTTTACGTGCATCGCTTGTCCTAAGGCGCGAATCAATAGATCCAGCCTGACACAGAGTCGGGCAGTCCAGCACCAAGTTTCTGCTTGACAGCGACTGGGGCCTTCGATAGGGCAGCGGGGTCATGATGACCTATGTGTGAATTACACCAGATCTTGGCAGCACGGTCCCTGTGTTTCGCTCCCTCCCTGCCTCCTTGTCTCTCTCTCTGTCTCTCTGTCTGTCTCCCTCGCTGTCTCTCTCTCTCTCTCGCTCTCTCTCTCGCTCTCTCGTTCGCTCTCTCGTTCGCTCTCGTTTGCTCGCTAAGCAGGTGCTGCCTAGCCGAGGCTCGGCGCGTCGGAGTCCCAATCGCGAGATCTCGGCTTTCATGCTTGCGACCAGACGCCCACGCTAGAAGCACCTCAGGACCTGGTCCTAGACCCAATCAACCGCCACCGCCTTCTGCAAGCAAGAAGCTCAGATGCTTGAGGTGCTTCAGAGTCCTCGGTGTAGGGCAGTCTTCTGGCTTAGTCCAAGGGCCAAGCTTTGCCCTGTGGCCTAAGGTCTTTCGGCTTTCTAGTCAAACAACACAGATCGACCAGCTGCTGTTGATATAGGAATGTAATGTTGAGCAATATATAGTGATGCGTGCAAAACACGTGCACGGTTGCGAGTATGATAGTGTGATGAGCAAACTTGCGCAGCTAAAGTAACATGTGGAGGAGTATCACCGTTTAAGTATTCTCGATGTCGTGGTCTTGGTCTTGAGTATGGTCGTGCCAACAAGGACGCAGTCCACGGAATGCCCCTGCGCCTGCCGCAGTCTCAGAGTGTAGGAAATCGTATTTGTGGGGCCAGTTGCTGCGTCGCAGAGCTCTGCGGTGAGGGCCAACCGATTCGGGCGCTGCTTCATACCCAGTCGGCACGAGGCTGCTGAGCATGGCCATCACACTGACTCGTTATGAAACTGTCACTGTCGTCGCACAGGGGTGGGTGCCTCTGCGATGCAGGCTCCAAGCCCCGTACTTAGTGTATTCCGGACAGGAAGTGCGAGATAAAGCCGACACACTCCGGAGGCTTGGTGTAAGGTCACATGGCGCGACCGCTTGGTGGCATGAAGTGGTCATCAGCAGGTTACTGCCGAACCAGACTACGAGAAAGAGTAAGAGACATCCAATTCTGTCGTTTGACTTTGGTCATCTTCTTTCAGGTTCCAACGGCACCGTTCCAACCCGTCTCCGGCACTGGGCGTCGGTGTCCTCGATCCCGCAGCAGGCACAGCACGTTGTCATTTTCGTCTTTGCGAGTCTTTGCACCAAACTGAGCAAGTTGGAACAAAGCGCCTGGGAAGCTGGCGTTGAGAGCCTGAGCTGTTGCATGCCCGACAGGAAGCGCCAGCAAGTTTGCTTCAGGCCATACAAGGGGCATGTCATGGCACCCGGCCGTCACTGCCTAGCACAGCAGCAGCCAGCCATTACGATTGGCTGCATGTTGACATGTCGACCTGTGCAACAACCCTCGTTGTGAAGGCTGCGCGTTCGCGGGCTTCCCTTGTTCACCAGCCCGTTCCAGAAGGTCGCTCCACTAGTTAGCAGAAGTTTGACAGGGATACTGCGATGTCACCGGAAGGCTTGGCGGTAGCTGCTCCTTCAGCAGGAAACTCAGGCAAGAGCACATAGGCAACGTGAGACCGAGAGTGTACCTCTAGGGAGCCCATGCCCATGTCTCTGAACTGAGATTGAGGCTCAGACTGCTCAGCCCCACATCCACGTCTCGGCCAATGCCCTGCGGACTCTAGAGCCAATGCTGCAGGCTCTCACGATCCATATTGCCATGCCATATAGGCCATGGGGCAACTCAGTTCAACATGACGAGATTCCTTTCCAGGACGTTGCAGACTTTGGTGGCTGCCTCAGCAACGCAGCGCGATGGCAAGTTCCGCCTCCAAATTCCACAACTGGCCGGTAAGTACTTGGAGACGCTGTCATGGGGTCTTTGATTCTGCAGCGATGAGGGCACAATGCAGCCACATGGTGCAAACGGCACATGTCTCTGACAGCTTCAGGTTCCGAAGATGGATCCTGCTCGATTTGTTTGGGCTCCGACCTCAATCACAGCCACACAACGTACCCGAGCGGCGCAATTTGAGAATTACGCTGTTTTGATTCCTTCATGTGAGGGGTTGGCTTGTGTCAGAGGAGTTCATTCAGACACGTTCGTCCTAGTATAGTACCCTAGACAGGAGGATCCTTATTTATGAGGACCCCCAAAGTAGGGTACCCCTAATGTTCGGAAACCCCCGTTCAGCCGGCTCAAGCAAACGCCGGGCACTCCAGGAGCCATGGCAGCTTGCCAGCACCAAGCCGAACATTTCTGAATTCGTCTGCCCTGTGCTCTTGTCTGCGTGCAAATGCGGCTGCTAGGAGTTCTTTTATGCAGGCTGCATGAACTGGAGCCCAGGCGCGATTGATGTGGCCGCTGGCCGCAGCTTGATTGAATTTTCGTTGTCTTATGTGAACTGGAACTGATCGTATGGCACCCGGTTCGATGCATGAAAATTCCGATGCCTTGACCTGAATTGAACTTAGATGCATGGGCCCCCTAAGATAGCCTCGACAGCATGCGAATCTGGGAATTGAGTCGAAAGTGTTTGGTCCGAGGCACACTGTAATCCTCGCGGAAGCTTTCGTAAGACTCCTGCGAGCAGCTACATATCTATTGTTCTTGATCTTACCATCCTGACACGTGACCACTCCCCCTGCTCCGATTCCTATATGCTGCTACTGCTAATGCTGCTGCTACTTCTCCAGCTCCGACTCGAACCAGAGAACTTCTGCTTTCTGCTGCACTTGCCGTCATTATCTTTTCAGGTATTGGGTAATGTCATGCACTAACCTAAAACTGTGATCATCGAGTCATGTATCATCATACATCACACAGGTCCTGGCCACCCTGGCCTCCGGCGCTGCCTTCGTTGCAAGCGCCCCGCGTTCGCTTTCTATGCCGCGGGTCCAAGGAGTCCAACACGTACAAGGAGTGAAGGACCGGATCTGAGTTGTAGGTCGGCTATGGTACGCTCCAAAGCACTTACAGCAACATCTTTCAACCACAACGAGAGCTGCGAAAACTCCAGCAACCCACCGGCAGCAGCAGGAGAAAGAACCAGCACAGAAAGTTGGGGCCCGTACCAGTAGGAACGTATTCCCGTAGCCTTGCTGTGGTGCTTTGCAAAACAGGCTGCGCATGTGCAAGGGCCAGCCTTCCAGGCAGGATGGGTTTTGTGAAAGCACGACAAAGAAAAAGCCTGCATGGGCTGGGCTACTCTCGCGGACATGCGTAGAAATATTTGGGCCAGAAGCTGCTATGAGTAGCCGTGACGGGCAGTTGTGGTGCCTGCTAACTCGCCTTGCCGTAGATTCCCACGGACCACCCGTCGCAAAACTCTGTAGCCGAAAAAGCTGTTGTGATCTCTGGGACTCTCTGAGACCCTGTGAGACGGCGAGCTCGCCTTTTGTGGGCCTGGGAGTGACTGCTGCTGTGGCGGCCGTTGCTGTGGGCGCCGCAACTCTCCGACGTTCCCTCGTCGCACGGCAGCTTCGTCTCGCAGGGCAGGACCGCCTGGGATGCCAGCGGTCGGATAGCGAAGCATATGGAAGCAGTATCTCGCAGTACATCGCAGTGTCGCATTCGATTTGCATGCGGTGTTCATCTTCAGGACATTCCTCGCAGCCTGGCTACGTGGTTGTCGGGAGAGGATGTCTTCAGAAGGTATGAGAAGACAAGCTCTTCTAACATGTCGGCAGGGTCCATTCTGGGATGCTTGTAAGACAGAAGTGCTCCCAAAATGCTGTCGGCACCCGTCCAAGCTAAGGCAACAAGCAGCTGGCCTATGGGTTGATTTGCAGCATTTTCGGCCTGGGCAAAACCACAGCACCAAAGCCGCAAGCAAGACAGTGATTGTAGGCTTGTAGGTGATCACAGCTTCCGCGCTTGCTGCCAAAAAGGTGTTCGCAATGCTCCGAGGCCTTCAAAGTCTGCATTGACTGCGACATCAACCCGTACAAGCCTTTTGTCTTGGATTGCTGTGCTGTGCAATGCCTGCCACAAGGCAGTGAAGCTGAAGTGCTCCGACGGATTAGCAGATGCAGCAGTTACCTTCAAGCACCCCTCAGGATCGTATCCCAGCTGTCTGAAGACGAGGACCCACAAGCAAGCTTTTGTTTCTGCCTACTTGCTGGCACCTATTGCCAAGAAGGAAGCAGCTTCTCTTTCAATTTCGCGGAAAGCACAAATACAATTGTGTTTGAATTGGGGAGAGCAGGGAAGTATGAAATGTCCGCAGTGACCAGAGTGACGAGGAGTTTCGTTTGGCTGAAGAAATTGGCAACTATGTGCTAGAGAACCCGCTGCGGCGCATGTACAAGGCCCGACACATCTCTATGGCCGGTCCAATGCGCAGAGATTGCTGTGACACCAAGTGTCTGGCTTCTAGTAAGAAAGAAGCTCCGGCAGTTGTCTCCAGGCCAACTGCAAGGCTTTGCTGGCCATCAAACACAGGCATGGCAGTGCTTTGCAAGACTCGCTTTCCAGAGAAGAGTTCATGCTGCGGCTCGATGCGGATTTTGTCCGCGTTGCACCATCAGAATGTCAGAGTGTAGCCATTTGACATGCTTCTTCCGAGAGTTCACTGCAAGTCATGTCCACTGTACGTGTGAGGCGAGGTGTTCGCATGCAGAAGGGTTTGCCCGTGCACTTCCAGAGAAGTAAGACGAACAACCGCATCTCGGAGCGATCAGAGCGAAAGCAGAGCCTCAGCAACGCGTAGCACATGCGTGCATGTGGCCAAGGTAACGCTCGCAAGCTGAACCCCAGCCGATTCTGAGCGTCCTCTGAGCTTGTGGAACTGTCATGGTTTAGTGCACCCAGAACAAACCTTGGTCCCGAGACGCCTGTGCAGAATGTGCAGACAAGTAAAGCTAAGCTTGATCACTGACAATTTCATGGTTGCCCTCCTTCCTTTCAGCTCTTGCACCTGCGAGCTCCCAGAAAAGGACAAAAAGGCAGGACCCGAAGCGTCCATGGCTGTTGAATCCGACGGATCCCGTAGTGCCGCAAGTATCTGCTTGCAACTGGAGAGTAGAGGATGCTCCGGGGTGACAACCCGTTGAAGACTCAGCCGTGCTTTGCTCAGGTGCCGACGCCAGCGAAGTAACCGAACTTCGCTGTGGCAACCGGCATCTGCCCAAGAGAGGAGAGAGTCGGACGTGGATTTCGCAAGCCAACCACAGGTGCAAGTTTGGCGTCCAAGGCATGGTCAGGTAGTTGCTCGCAGTATTTGGCTCGACGTTCTCAATCACCCTTCATGTTTTGCAGCCATTTTTCGCCAATTTCCGAGACGCCTGCGGCTTGGAGACCTCTCCGCCACAAAATCTCATGCTCAGCTCGGCCCGTGCGTGTGGTACAGGTTTTCCAGGTAGGGCTTGGGCCGTCGGCATGGCAGGTCGCGATAGCAGCGATAGCATCTACACACTTCATGCAGATTCATGCACCTTGCTCAGCTTCTTTTCGCCCACGCGGACTCCGAGGCCATGTCGCTGGGATACACTGGCGACTCGCCTCCGCCCTCGCCATCGCGGCGGGAGGCAGTCGGGAGTCGCCTGTTCTGACTTGGACAGCCCCGTGCTGCTGTCCGACACGCAGGCGGCGGCTGCGGCCAAGAAGCATAAGGGTGGCGTGGAGCGGCTCATGCTCTCAGCTCCAGCCCCAACCGGGCACACGGGGCACGAACTTTGGAACATGCTACGATGGCCCCCCTAGGTCCGAGCGAAGATTGGGGACGCCTTGGACATCGATGGCCTGCCAAAGGCCAGAACCGATGAGTGTGTTTTCCTTCGAAACGGGAGTTGTTCACGCGACTCGCAGGAAGCTGCGCAGCTCCTGGCCGAGGCGGAGGCACTGCTACGGAAAGGCCGGGCAGAGCTGTTGATATCCTCTGTCCCATGTGCTCAGTTTTGCATCGTATGTTATTAAAGGCGATGCCACCAGCGTGGGTAAGCCTTTTACGCTTCGTGCAACCTCGCTCGAGGCGAGCAAGAGCTCGCGAAGCCGCGCTTGGAGCGCATAGTTGCAGGCATCGATGCCGAGGATAGCTGTGGAGCTTGTCCGTTGCACAGCGGCTGATGGGCGTGGCACTGTGGCACGAGGACATGTTTCATGGCGCAGATGAACACGCAAGGCGAAGAGCTCATGGTGCAGCATCAGGGCCCATGTGGAGCTTGACTGTTCCGGCCTGCGGTCAAGATCGTGCCAGGCGGTCTCTGCTGCACACATACACAGATCTGGACCCAGAAGCAGCTGCAGGACACCAGGTGCCTCCTTTGATTGAGACCAGGTGTTTTTGAGATGTAAAGCCATTATGCACACTGTGACATGCTGTCCATGCCCTTTGTTGATGCTTCTCTCTCCGTCCCAATGTGCCAGGCCACATCGCCTAGTCGGCGAGCTTCTCGCCTGCACAAAGTGGCTCTCAAGACTCCTGACCGGTGACACATTTCACGTCGCCATCTGCAACCCTGGCATGCTGGCAGGCAGCGGACATGATCACCTCTCCGAAAGCAAGTGCGAAACAGGTCTTGGCCTGAGTTCGCAAGCTAAACGGAAATCTCCGGTGCGGCGAGAGTGTGGGTTTCTCGTACCGCAACAGGCGCTGCATGCTGAAGAAGTCGCCAAGCTCCTTGAGAAGGCCGTCCTGTTGCAGGGGCTGCAGGTACGGTTTTGGTATGGCGTTCCATTTCTATGCCTTGCGTATGAGTAGCCCCAAGCCCGATGCCACACTGCTTCCAAATCTGCCTCTGTCAGGCGGGGCACTTCGACTTCGATGCGGTTGCCTTCGCCTCGCTGCCAGAGGCAGGGAATGTGCTGTAGAGAGCACATTCAGCCAGCTGGGCCGGCCTTCGAAATGATCCGCGTAGTTCGTCAAAGAAACTACATCTTGACAGACTCGGCTGCTGTGGACAAGCTTGAGGTTGAAGGCAAGCCCCTCACCACCTTGGGCACGTACTTGCTGTCGTCCTGCGGGTACATATCGGGACTGGAGGACTGCCCACAATGTCTCCACTCTTGATGTCACACTGTTGCTTTTCAAGTCCATGTCTCAAGTTGTGCTGTCAGATCGGTTGAGGCACTGCTACAGTACTGCGAAGAGCACAACTGCAGACTAGGCTCCAAACAGATCATCCGAAACCCTGCGCAAGTCCAACAAGCGGAAATATTGCGGCGTCACATCCCAGTCCGGGCTGGCAAGCGAACAGCGAAAGAAAAAGCAGACTGGAGGAGCGGTGGCAGCCTCTGCAATTGAGCCGCAAACTTGAAAGGACAATGGATGGCTAGATTGTCCTCGAGGTGCTACCTTCGAGGGCCGCGCCTCTTGTCCAGAATGCAGGTTTTGTCTTACAGAGCCCAACCACTATGTGTAACAAGCACAAGCTTTATCAAGCTATTTGTACACATACCATCAAATACCTATTGTATACTCGTGAAGCACTTGTCGGTACATCTTGTGCCATATGTATGCAAGCATGAGCATGCACAGGTATACGTTGCCGTATAAAGAATGATGCCCCCGCACGTGCAATGTCATAACGGCGTATGATGAATATCCCGAGGTGGCCCGGTTTCTGCGCGAGATTGACAGAAGATACTTGCCGAAGGCAGGCAGGGATTTCCGCCGGATGCCCAAAGTGCTCTGACAGAATCAATGCAGTTGCCAGCTGCAAAACCAGTCACTAGCTCTCTCGATGCAAGCTTCGAGTGCAGCCCAAAAGCCGCGTCTGTCGCTTCACATGCTTCCTTCGCCTTTGGCTCAGTCACACCGGCAGCGCTAGACCAGTAGCTTCGTCATGGCTGCCGTGCAAGTGGTGCAGTTGCCGCCTGCCTTTTGCGGCGAGCAGGCAATTTACGGGCCTCACTACCGCGGAGGCCTGGCGCCGCCACCGGATTGGTGGGCACAGGCTGCCCAAGCCTGCGCCCTAACGCAATGCCAAGTTGCAGCGTTGCAACAAATGTTCCAGCCTTGCCGCTGGCAGACTATCAATGGCTTCAGTTACCAGCCGGTGCAAGCTCAAGCGCCAATGATGCAGATGGCCACTCCTCACTTTGCACCCCCTGCACCGCCCATGCCTGGGCCTTCCCCCACACCTCACTTTGCACCCCCTGCACCGCCCATGCCTGGGCCTTCCCCCACACCTCACTTTGCACCCCCTGCACCGCCCATGCCTGGGCCTTCCCCCACACAACAAGCCCCCCTGCAAGCACTCCACCCAGCACCAGCGGCAAGCATCCCAACGTCAGCCCCTACGAGCTCACCCAAGAGCCCAACGCAACCTTCGTGGGCGGACTTGTCGGAGGATCTGACTCCACCGAGCCTGCCAGCGGAGTTGCCGACTCTGCTCCCCAAGCCCAGCAAGGGTAACGGAAAGGGAAAGGGAAAGGGAAAGACTGCCAAGAAGTCATCCAAAGGAACGGGCAAAGGCAGAAACGGTGGCAAGTGGCAGAATGAATACTCGGACTATTACTCTTGGAACTACCAGTACTACGGCTGGTATTGAGTTTACCCGCGATCGTGGGAGTGTGTCACCTGCAGCTGCGAACTGTTCAGCAGGCTTGAAGATCTTGTAGGGCATGACCAAGTCATCCGCCTGTCGACGAGAGGCACGGGGCGACAAAGCCTCCCCCGAGCAGAATGGCCTTGTCTCATAGACTGCCATCTCGGATGCCATGCACAGAAGATCGGCGTCCGTTCAACGTCTGGCCCGGAAAAAAATCCCGATCGCACAGGAAATCTCACATCCCATGATTCCTGCCAGGAGGATCCCTTGAAGGTAACGTCCATTGTCCTAATGCAGAGCGCAAGTGTGCCAAACAGTGAAAATCTTGGCAGGCTATCTATCACAGCTCTGTCCATGCTACAGATGTATCCTGGCTGCAGGGTGATAGTTGCTGTGCAGTTATTACACGCCAGTGCGATTTGAAGGTAATGGCAACGACTTGTTGGTTGCTTCGGCAGCCGTATTTCATGCAGCGAACGTCGCTCCTGGATTACACCGTCAGTGCAGCCCTGCTGAAATACGTTCGGCATCATGAGCTGCAACACCCCCTTGACACTGGGCAAAGCAGACTCCCCAATCAAGGTGATAGCAGCCGCTATGCACGACGTTGGGCAGCCTGGCGAGTTAGGGGAGATGGTTCTGCGAGTTGAATGCCTCAGCGACAGCTTACAGCTTTCCGAATTTCTCACTTCGGAGTCGTAATTATTATTAGCTGCTCGGGCCACAAGGCACCCCGGCCTTAACAACGAGTTCCAGAAAGCAACCATGTCCGAGCTGGCGTTAACCTACAACGACCAGAGCGTGCTCGAGAATTTTCACGTTGCGCTCCGCGGCTGAAGTTGTCCGAAGCAGGGATGTTGGCATTGAATGCCTAAGCCCTAGGCCATCTTAAGCCGGTGACTTGCTGTGCCGACGACCTCTTGTCAGGACGGCCTTCGATATCTTGACGCACAACGAGGCTCTTCCCTCTTCGCTACTATACTATCTAAAGCCTGATGGACTGACTTCGCTGCGTTTCGATTGATGCGAGACCCGTCGCTATTAATGGGAGGACTGCAACTGGTTCGTCCTGTTGTCGCGAGATTTCCGCAACGGTGGCAGCGAGGCCCGATGCGGTCATGGTTCATATTGCACAAGGATTAGGGCTACAGCCCTGGGCTGTATCAGCACGGCACGCAAGGACATGTGCGGAGCGCGGGGGACACAGGGGACATGGGGCAGGACGCGACGCAATGCGAGGGATGCGGGAGCGGGGACCTTTGACCAGACCAAACCA